CCACCGAAGCATGTAGGCCGAAATGCATGCACTCTGCAGTGGTGGTGGAGCTGACCGGGCACGGCAATCTGCAAGGAGACGGAGGAAGGTATAGCGGCTTCCGAAGACCACCTGCCACCGGTCTCTATGCCGAGGACGATGAGGCGGCAGCGGCCGGAGGTGCAGAGTTCTGGGTAAGTGCGCTCTTTCGCCCGCCGCGCATGCCGCAGGGCTGCTCCGGTCCGGCAGTCCGCCTTTTGCAGTCAACGGCGAAACGAGGGTTGCGTCAACCGCGACTTGGACCCCTCCCCACAGAGGTAAGCCGTTCGCTACAGTATGACCTCGATGCGGCGGTCGTCTTGCCGGGAAGGAACGACATTGAGGTCCCGCACCAAGACGTTGGTCGCGACCGTCGCACCAGCCTCGCAGCAGACGCGAGCTGCCGCACGCACGAGCGGGGCACCTCTGGCTCGCAAGACGCCGGAGTTGGGGCAGCGAGATGGTCACCGAGCTCGTCCTGCCGTCGGCTGCAACGACAGTGGGCTGCAGTGAGCGGCAGGGGGAGTCGGAGACGCCGCAAGAGCAGGACTCGGAAATGCCAGGGCGCCTGCGAGAATTCAGGTCAGGTTGGCCTGGCCGTGACGCGAAGGGGCCGGCTTGTGAGTCCAGCAAGGCGGCAAAGGAGGGATCAAGCTCCCGCAGGATGGAGCGGTAGCAGAACTCATCAACAGCCCGGGAAGCAGGACGCTGCCAACCACGTGTTGTGTCAAGTTGGGGTTCCGCCTCCTCGTCTGGCTGGCGTGGAGGGGGCCGACAACAGCTCAAACCAGGTCGGCGGGGCATATCCGGATGCAGACAAGGGAGCGCGAGGTAGGAGCGCGGACTGCAAGGCCGCGGGCGTCGGCGACACACCATCGAAAGTGTCAACGAGCGCACGCGCGAAGGGCGGGTCCCGAGAGGCGATGGCAGGCAGCGCGTCGGCCCAGAGGACCAGTAAGCGGCGGGAGCAGGCAACGGGGGGAGCTCGTTCTGCGCACCGGAGCACAAACGTGTGTTTCGGCACGCAAGAACTGCCTGATCATGGCCCGCTGCGAACGCCCGCGTGGCTTCCGGTGGAAGGGACCGGAGTGCGTACTGAGCACGCGGTGCCGCGCAACAGGAAAGAAGCAGCCAGCAGGTTTGAGTGTCATGGATGGCAGGGAGATCCCGGAGGAGACCGGCTTGGCGAGCAAGGGTCTGCTGCAAAGGGGTCTCAATGAAGGCGGGGCTGCCGATGGGGACACCTAGCGCAATGAGGCCGCGCTGTTCCGGGCTGGCATCAAGGCCACCGACCCACACTGGGGACTCAGGCGCGAGCTGCTGCAGCCTCTCAAAAATCGCCAGCTGCATTCCACACACGTGTTTTGGCCAATGCATGCTGCGGACAGCAACGAGTCAACGAGGTTACCTCCAGCCCTGCTTCTGAGGGTGAAGGAAAACGGAAGGACACACCAGCCACTACGTCTGAGGGCGGCGCAAGACTTAAGGCCAACCCAAGAAGCAAGGACAACTTGGCAGCCGACTGGACAATGGAGAATCCAGCCATGAGGGCCGCAGCGGCCAGGCGTGCAGCGGCCCCGGAAGCCCTGGTAGGGGCTTCCAGGTGAAAAGGACGTCGCGGAGGGTGTGGCGGCGCAGGGAGCAGACGCCCGCATGAAGCGAGAACCTGTCGAGGATGGCATCACACCGAGGGCACCAGGCGTCATCAGCAGCATCAGCGATCACAGGCACCGCTGCCAAAAAGGCGCGAGCACCCTCCTCCGCCTCCGAACGCAGGACTGCGCAGGCACTGATGATGGAGGTGGCCAGCTGGTGTTCCCACGCAGCGTTTCCCGCGGTCCCAGCAGTGTTGGAGCCGGCTAGCGCGGCCAGGACATCCGCCCGCCCAGAGAGGAGGGAGGTGTCAAAGCCGGGCTCAACCGCCGCACACAGGTCTGCGCAACCGCCCACTGAAGCAAGGTAGGCTGCTGGAGCGTCCGCGAGCACGGACCGCAACCCCAACCCTGCCTGCCCAAAGCCCCTGGCAGCTTGTGCCCACTGCGAGCCATCCAGGTGCAGGCCAGTAAGACTGCTGAACGCGCTGCGCAAGGCACTGTCAAAGTCCGCGGCTGCTGGGCAGTGGGTGGGGAGCACCGCATGCTGTGCACCATTCTACAATGGCCGGCAGCAGCGCGCAGCATGCGCAAGCCAACCTGAGGATCTTCCAGCTCAGCGAGGGCCTCCATGAGCCGCGGGCGCGCGTGGCAGCGTGTTCCGCAGCGTAGGCTGCATCACCAACAGGGGCCCCGAGGATTTCGAAGTTGCGCTGCACGCAGCAACATGTGGGAGTGCGAGGTGACTTGTTTGCAGACTTGATAAATGAATTTTCGTTGGTGCTCGCGAATCGCGCGCAGCACGATGATTCATGGACGTTTTGTAGTTCCAGTGGGGTGAAACGCCAAATTGATTTCATTATGCACAGCTCCAATATCAATTCTTCAGACGCGGCGCCTACGACAAGTCTTGACATGGGTTCCGATCATAGAGCCGTACGCTGCAGAGTTCAAGTGCCACCGATCACACGCAGACCAAGCAGAAAGCCATGTGGATTACGAGGCTGGCTCCCGGACAATCCGAGTTCTTATCATGCAATTCTTCGAGATAAACTTCAACAAAAGCAGCCAGACAATATTCTCGATTTGGAAGATGTGGTTGTCGCATCCGCAATGGAAGTCAATGCCCCTTCCTGTCGTGCTTCTGACCTCGAAGAGCCATGGACGAATGATAATTTTCAGCTTCTTCTCCGACGTCGTCGTGATTGCAAAACTGTTGCTGAACGCGCACGTCTTTCCAAACAAATTCGGAAGGTCCTTCGAGCGCACCAGCGACGCAAATTGAATGACAAGATGACGAACATTTTATCGTCGGGTCGTGATTTTAAGCGATTGGAATCACTTCTTCGTACTCCCGAACACTCTCAGCAACATCGCCCTGAAGAAGTACCATCAACGGAGGATTTTACCTCGTATCTTCGTGGTATATTCTCTACCGACAGTGCCTGGGAGCAGACCTCGCACTCTTCATTTGCGGATATCTTGCCATTTTCTTTGGAGGAGTTGCAGGCCGTTCTGAAGCGCATGAAAAATCAGCGAGGGGCTGATGACGGTGGTCTTGTCGTTGAGATGTTCAAATTTGGTGGCCGAGATCTTCACCAATGCTTACTTCAAATTTTCAACAACATGTTGGCCAGTGGCAGATTGGAATCTTCGTGGCAACATTCCCTTTTCAAAATGTTGCCGAAACCCGGTGATTCGTCTATGGTAACAAATTGGAGACCAATCGCAGTTCTTAAAATCACCTACAAGATCTTTTCGAAGCTCGTACATACGAGAATCCAAGATCTACTGGAGCGTGAACAGAGTTGGGATCAAATGGGTTTCCGGTCATTACTTGGAGTGGATCACGCGCTTGCTGTTCTTGACACGGTTTTGTCCAAAGCTGTGGAGTGGAATTTCGACGTTTGGTGCGCCAGTCTGGATTTGAAGAAGGCCTTTGACCGCATCGAGTTCAAACCACTTTTCGAAGCATTGCGATGTCAGGGTTTGCCCGACTGCTACATCAGCTTATTGCAAACATTGTACCGCTCACAATCTGGATCAGTGAAAAAGGGTTCCCCATTTGAAGTCCAACGCGGGGTGAAACAGGGAGATGTTATGTCGCCCGCTTTGTTCAACGCTGGCTTGGAGCACGCTTTCCGACAGTGGAAACAACGACTGATGGAGCATGGTCTTGACGTTGGAGCAGTCGAACGACTCACAAACATCCGATACGCTGATGACATCATGATTTACGCAAAATCTTGGCAGGAGCTTGTATATATGATCGAATGCCTCGTACAAGAACTTGGAAAGATCGGTTTGCATTTGAATGCATCAAAAAGCCGAATTATTACTACAGCCCACATAGACGGACCCATGTACATCAATGTTAGCGACGACATGGTCGAGGTATTGACTGCAGGCGACGTTCACAAATACTTGGGACGACATATCAGTGCAGATCCTCGATGCCGCAGTCAGACAGAACTCAAACATAGGTTCCAAGTGGGATGGGCAAAGTTTCGCAAACACCGTCATATTCTTACAAACAAACATGTGTCCATCGCATTGAGATTGAAATTTTTCGATACAGTATTGACTCCAACCGTTCTGTTTGGATTACACGTATTGCCGTTGACTCTGTCACAAATTCATACACTGGATGCATTGCAACGACGAATGCTTCGCTCTGTGGTTGGCTGGGTGCGAGTTGCAAACGAAGATTGGCACAGCACTATGAGTCGGATGAAACACAGACTGACTGCAGCGTTACACATACACCCTGTGGACACCTGGTCTCGCCAGCTTGCACGACGTCAGTACAACTTCGCTTTCCAAATGTTGCGAATTCCCAATTGGGCCGCGGCTGTTGTCAAATGGTGTCCAGAAAGCAACTGGCAAACAAATTTTGCTTTACAACTACATCGTCGACCCGGTCGCCCGCTAACGAAGTGGGATGATCGACTCCGCAGTTTTGCAGCCTGTAATTTTCCAGCGGTGAATACGTGGACTGATATTGCTGAAACAGCAAATTGGCCGCCCGCTGCAAGCCAGTACGTACAAAGCTTTAAGAATGTATAGACCGAATCGTGCCAACACTCAAGCACGCCCCCATTCCCCATGTCCTTATAGGACCGTGGTCCACTAGCAGCAGGAACAGTCTGACGCTTGTAATGTTTCACGTGGACCCGAACGGGCGAAAGCGAAAGCGAAAGCGAAAAAGCTGCACGCAGCTGGCGCCATCGGGTCTCCGGAGGAGTGTGTGGGGTAAGTGGGCCATCAGCTCTCCCTCTGAAGTGCGCACTTCGCCAGGTTAAGGGACAGTCCCATCTCAGCAGCCCACCGTTGGATGTGCAAAAGGGCCTCCTTCACAGCTCGGGCATCACCAGCGATGACCCCGTCATCCTAGTAGAATTTAGCGAGGTCGAGAGGGCGCCCCGGAGCTCCACTGCGAGCGGCTGGATGGCTGCTGCATGCTGCTGCCAAAGCAAGGAGCCGATTGGGTCGCCTTGCTGGACGCCAGCAGAGACCGTCTCCCCAAACACCAGGTTGCCTCGGGCGCGAGTAGCACCAAGCAACCCACCGCGCCAAGGCAGGGAAATCAGCAACGATAACAACCATGACCTCCTGACGGCTGACGGTGTTGCAGGCATTCCGGAAGTCCAACTTGAGCATGACCTTAAAGTCAGAGGCCGAGTGGCGTGCGACCCAGGAGCGGACGGTGTGGACCACAACCTCCACACCCGCCGGGAACGCAACACCGAGCTGCGCAGGGAAAAAGTGCTGGCGGGCGGGCTCCTTTACGAGGCTCATGAGGCTCTTGGCCGTGAGGCGCCGTAGGATCTCCCCGACCGCGATGGGTCGGACCCCATCCTTGGTCTTCGGCACCACCACGAGGCCAGCTCCGGCCATGACAGCAGCAGCATCAGTGCAAGCGCGGCCTTGGGCAAGGAGGCTGGCCGCAGCCGCAAGCTGCTCCAGGAAACCAACAGAGGCCCCAGGCGAGCAAGCGTCGCGGAGATGCTGGGCACGGAGACCTGAAGGGCTAGGAGCAGTGGCAGCAGGGAAGGCACTCAAAGCCCGACCCACCACATCACGAACTATCTCCGGCGCAACAGGCAACTCGTGTTCACCAGGAAGGACAGGGTCAGGATGTGTGGGGTGGAGCTCACGGACTGCAATGGTGTCAGCCGTTTCCGGCGCCAAACCAGTGGCGAGAAGAGTGGCGCAGGCCTTCCCATCAAAGCCATCACGAACCAGCGCCGTGGCCATATCCCGGCGGTCCTGCTGGAAAGAGGGCACGGCGAGGTCCGCGGCGAGGTTGGGAGCGGGTATCCCAAAGCTCCTGACGAGCGCCATCCTCCCAGCGGCGCAGCCGATCCAGTGTATATGCAGCTGCCGCCCGCGCATGCTTCTTGCCACGTCGTGGGGGGGCATCCAGCACAGCTTGGAGCAGCATAAGGAGCTCCCTCCAGGCGCAGGAATCATTATGGTGTGTCACGGCAGCCAGTGCGCGTGTGAGGACGCGGCCCCAGGTAGCGCGCTCCAGCCGGCACGTGCTTCAGGGTTCGAGTGCGCCCGAGCTGAATGTCCTCAAACGGGGGCAGGGATGGCAAGTTGTCGTGTTTTGGAGGCGTTCAAACGCGGGCGAACCCATTGCCACATCAATTCCTCAAGGCGACGGTAGAGGAAAGCAACCCGGTCAGGCGTGGCGAGGATGTAGACATCATCAAGGTATGCAAGCGCCTGTTCATTGGGCCGAAATTCCGGTTGCAGGTCACGCAAGGCAGGAGCCAAAGCCAAAGAGAAGAATGCCGGCATCAGGGTGACTGGCGTAACAAGGTGCGAAACAAAAAAAATGTGATCCTTGGATTTGCGGGCCTCTGCAAGGGGTGGTGCCACCGCGGCGGCGGGGAGCTCCAGCTGACGTCAGTTGTCAACAGCGAGCTGGGCGCAACCACAAAAAAAAACAATTCGCAATCACCTCGATGCGCCGCTCATCATGCCTTGCAGCTTGGAGCTTGAGGTCGCAGACCAACACATTCGTGGCCACAGCTGCTCCGGCCTCACGGCAAACACGTGCAGCGGCAGGCTCAAGGGGCCCGCGTGTGCGCAAGGTGCCAGACCGAGGGCACGCAGCGACATGATCACCCAACACATCCAGCAGACGCTGGCAACGGCATCTGGCAGGGGCAAGCGGCAAAGGAAGTCGGAGGCGGCGGAGCAGCAACCACACGGAATGGCGCCGAGTCGATGGCGAGCTCGGCACCAGTGGGACGGACAGTGAGAATTCTGGCCGCAAAAGGGCCCGACTGCGAATCCAGCAGTGCGAACTCGGCAAGGTTTACACTGTTGCGATGCTCCGCGACAGCGAGATCATGAAGGGCGCGGGCAGCGTTTGCGAGAGCTGAGTGGCGGCCTCGGTCAACAGCTTCTTGGCTTGCAAATCCTGGAGCACGAGTTGGAGATGCTCTGCGTACCTACGCCCGCAGCGGCCGCCGGCCCGGGCTTCAGTGCAGCGGCAGGCGACTCGGTCCGTCCGGGTCGCCCAGAGCCAGGACGGCAGCCAGGGTTGGCACGCCGGCCCTTGCCTTCCCAGCGCCGTTGAGCCGACCACCTGCTGGCATGCGACGGATAGGGCGCTCCACTACATGCGCGCCCAGGCGACGCCAGCAGCCGCGCGCGAGGCGCGGCAGGCCCGCAAGCGGACCAGGCGTCGCACCACTGCGAAGCGAAAGTCCCTCGTTTCGCCTTTGTTGGACGCCGACCCCCCGACGACAACGTCGCGCGCGGTCCGGCTCGCGTGTGAGGACATGTAAGTGTTCGAAGAAGGCCAGCAGGCGTTCGTGTGGCTGCAATCGGGACACGGCCGCCAGGAAACTGCCATGACGCCGAGGGAAAACAGGGCAGGCGCTAGGCTCGCAGCCCTGCGGCTGGTTGATGATTTCATCTCAAATCGCACTGCATCTGTGCGTGTTGCACCTGCCAAATCGGACCAATGGGATGTCGAAAATGGTTTTTGGATCAATGTTCATAGGTTCCTGTTCAACATATTATTGATCAATGGCTTAGCAGCAGATATCAAGTGTGCGCGGTGGGTCATGTGCTCCACAACTGCATTTGTTTTTACCCTTTTCCGCCATCGCACCCCGTCCGGTCCACGACCCCTCCCCCGGTCCGGTCCACGACCCCTCTACTTGCCGCCGCGTTCTGCTCTTCGCAAAGGCAGCCGGCTGGGTGCAGCCGCGAAGCCGCGTCAGCGAAGTCAAGGACTTTTGCGAGCGGCACGTCATCCAGCGCGCCCGGGAGCGGCGGCATGTTCCAAATCCCGAGCACGGAGTTTGCAATGGCGCGTTGCTGAGTGACCGACAGGACGCCCAACCCAGCGACGGGGCTGGAGCACACTGGGCCCTAAGGCGCACAAGCCTGGCAGATGAACTGGCGACACTCCTCGCTCCAGCGGCCGCCCACCTCTGTGGCGAGGACGACCAGCCGCTGCGGGCCCCCGCACGTGAGCTCGGGGTACCGCGCAGCCTTGCGCCTGCGTTCGGCGACGAGCGCAACCCTGTCGCGGGCATCGGCGCCGGGGACCGGTCGACCTGCTCGCGTCAAATAGACGTGCTTCGCATCGGCGCACAGTGCCTCACTTGTCCTTGTCGCCCCATACACGACGAAGTCGAAGCGACGGCGGTCCGTGGTGCGAGCGAGCCACTGCTGGGGCACCATTTGGCCCTCGGACCCAACCGCCTCGCGCGCGGCCTGCACTCACGCATGCTCGAGGACGAAGCCGCGGCGGGGGCAACAGGCTGTGCGAGGGCAGGCGAGGTAGTGCTCGCCCCCACAACCCGGGCGCCCACCCCCATAGCAACTCCTGTACATGTACTCGAGCCTTTGAGTGCGACATGGCTGTGGGTCTGAATAGAGACATGTTCCCTGTTGTGTCATAAATCCTATGTCCGGGAAAGATCCCGAGGGCCATTTACATACCTTGGACTTCTGACTTTCTACCCTGAACCCTGATTCGCCCTAGCATTCGCGCTTCAAACTTCAGAGTCCACATACGCACATATCTTCATACATACATATCGGCACCCTTATCACAGGTGCACCTCGGCGTTCGATGCGTTTCGTGTCTCGACTACAGCATATAAAACGGTGACATATTCACCTGCTCATTGCAAGCGTGCCCTCGTGTTTCGTGCTCCAAACATCTCCAAACGCAGCTTACAAAACTGTAGCCTGGTAAGCACCAACTATGTAAATTTTGCTGATTCGCAAGGCACACAGCGATTGGGTTATCTTGGGGTTTTGCGGGCTTAATACCCCACATCGACCCAGTAGTAGTTTCATGACATTGCCGTGGTTTTTCTTGCGTTTTTCCGCGCAGCCGCTGCGAGCTGGTCCCGCCGTTGGTGAGGTATCCTTGGGGTGGCCGTGTAGCAGGCTTTCGCCAGCACGGCATTGGGGCAGGCTTGGCCCGCGTCGCTCCATCCGTGTAGAGGGACGAGCCGCCCCTTGAGCGGGCGCTCGAGCTCGCAGGCCCAGCGAGCCCTGGTCGCCCGCCGCTGCGCCCGTAGCGGTATGCGACGTGGTCGTGAGTGTCGATGCAGGTAATAAGCCTGCCGGCGTAGCGGGACAGCTACCATGCAGGCGGAAAAGAGGCGCGGAAAAAAGGAAAAATGTCAAAACTGCTGGTTTGAGTCATGTCGCACTCCTTGATACTGTGTTTGATCGTGCACATGTTGTTTCACCTTCAGTTCTGATCGTGACACACGATCGTTCAAGGACCCGTCTCTCTTTCTGATGTACTTCTCTTTGCAAATCTGTTATGAAAATTGTCGGGCCGGCGCGAACGCACGTGCAACATTTTTTTTATGGCTTGGAACGATGACGCAAGGCACAGAAATCACTCAAGGCCCTCAAAGACCCTCCCCAAGGCCCAACGGGAGAACAATATGTAAACATCGATCAGCCCATCCGATTAGTGATTTTTCTCGGGCCCATGGCTCCGGATACACCTGCGTGGCTGGAGGAAGCATATCCGGACAGCCAGTCGCCCAGTTTCGATGACCACAACGATGTTTGCAGACTCTAAAAGCTGAGGGCTGTGGCGGTCTCTCCGACGCTGCACCCTGCGCGTCGACGGTGGCGCCGGGCTTCAGCTGGCGACCACCGAGCTGGGCTACTCGGCTAGGCACAGCTGAACAGATGCACAGCATATACACATCGAGGAACTTTTACTAGTTGTTCGATGGATTGCAATGGTATACTGTGGTATGCCTCCCATGTCATAAAGATGCGTGGAAAGCCATAGCACGACCTTATGTTAGTGCCGTGGGAAGAAGGGGGGAGGGCCCGCGCGCGCAAGCGCGCAAGGAGACGGACCTTTTGGCTCAAGCCATTTTGGCTCAAGGTCCGAAGTGTATTGACCTGGCGGGCGAGCACTTGCTGCAGGTGGGCGGCAACGAAGCTGTTTTGACTGTTTGCGCAGCCCCAGAGAGGGGCGCACATTCACTCACTCAGCCGACAGGCCATTCTTGCAGCTTTGCATGCCTTGCCCGCCACCCACGCCTTGCCCTGCTCCTTCTCACACGCTTGTGGTATGCCCAAGGGTCCGCCTATGCATGGTCAGCGGGGGAGGGGAGCAGGGGGGCCCGCTCTTGCCGGTCTGTTGCCATGGCACCCGCTCTCCTTGCAGGAGAGCTAGAGTCAGGAGAACATGCCGATCGCTTACCTGGACGAGGCCTCCCCGCGCACCTCCGGCTGGCCAAGACGGCTGGGATGCCGCCGGCATCAGTCCTCCCGGTTGCAATGGGCTCGGTCCGGGCTCCGCAATTTGGTTTGATCCCGCCCTCAACACCGGAGCAGGGGATTGTCCCCGGACATCCACGTCGTATGCCGCCGTCACATCAACGCAGTGACCCATATTGGGCGGCCTCTGCACTCGCGACCCATCCCCACCGGGCGGGAGGGTGGGATGGACAAACTGCATGGACACGATGAAAACATGCAAGACATGTTTGACTGTGTGATGCTCTACCGAATCCGCGACGTCTCAGGCGAAGCGGTCCCAGTGCACACCTACTGTCTTGGGGCATGCGGCTTGCGAGGGGCGGGCAATGGGAGGAGTCTGCGAGGACGTCGCTCAACAACGCCGCGCCGAAATGCTTCTGAAGCTCTTGAGGCCCTGCGCACCGTTTGAGCTCTCATCAGCATGCACTGTTTGCGCAGCGCGGCCTGCGAGCCAACCTCCTGCAGCGCGCGGCGTTTTTGCTACAGCATTCTTCCTGAGGTTCAGTCATGGCCCTGAATGACATGTCCATGTAGCTTCTACAGCAAGCACAAAGGCTGGTGGTGTAGGAGGGTGTTGCCACCCAGTTTCGTCCCTCCCATGTCCACATTTTGTTGCAGTTCCTGTCCTGACCTGTGAGACGCAAACAACAACCGAGGCTCCAAAAGTGACGGCAGCTATGCGAGGACGGCGGTGACTGTCTCTGCACTCTGGGGCAACCATAACCCGAAGTGACGACAGTTTCAGTTACGAGGCTGGCACGTTTGAGGCGCACCTGAAAGCACCTGCTTCCGCAACTACACGCGGACGTTTTTTTCGAACGCTTGCGCACGCTTTTGGACAGTGTCGAACGCTTTCGAGCCACGGTGACCCTTGAACCCCAACTCTTGAAGTGGGAACTCCTGCCTGTGTTACGCATTCGGGGATCATGACATGCGTTCAGTTTCGGGCACGTCGCAATTGTTTTGTTTGCGATCGCCGCTGTAGCCGACCTAACGTCATATGCGTGACCAAAGTTGCGAGCAACACTTGAAGTTTCAGGGTCCTGAAGCCATGTTAACACGCCAACGCTTGCGGACGCTTGCCCATCCACGTCGGCATCTCGTCGCCCAAATGGCCCTTACATTCACTGGCGAGCGCGCGGAATTCTTTGCTACGATGGCCTTGCCAATCGTATGGTGCTGTGAAGCAATGTGGCACAGCGGCTCGCCATCTCGACGCCATTGCAAGCGAGGCAACGACTCGACAGCTTAAGAAGCATCTTTGAATCGGCATATTTTCTCATTTCTTCTCCGAGCCTTTCTCTTCAGCAACTTGGCGGGTCTCCGTCGGGCTGTCCGGACGTTCGGCGAGCAACCCTCCTCAGCGGCAGTTCGAGCTGTGTTTGCAGTGCTTTTAGCGACGTGGTGGCACCGCCGGGTGAGGGCTCGCTCCCGGCGACGCCCCTCCACTCAACAACAGCTTTTCAAAGAATGCATGCCACCCTGGTTGGCAACAACCATTTGACCTCGCGACGGCGACAGTGGCCCGATGTGGCCCGGCAACACCAGCACCCAAGTAGGATTTACGTTCATCCTGTTCTTTGATGCGCACGGCCAGTTGCGGATGTGCATGTGCCACATGCGCCGCAAATACCGCGGTCGAAACTGTTGCGTGCACTTCTCACAGCACGATTTCGGGAGTATTCTAGATACATTCCAATTAAGTATGATGCAGCACTACTCAAAAACACATATATACGAGTAGATGATTCAAATCAGCCGCAAGACACTTGGTCTCCCGGATTTTGATGCTGAGTGCATACATCATCAAGTACTGCGGCAAACCTTCTTCGGAACAGAAGCTTGGCTATGTCACAATCCATTGTAGCAAGCACAGGTTTCCACACAACACACACACACACACACACATCAGCAGGATCAAGAGCGGTCTTTGTTGACCTCCTTTCACCCCTTGCAACAAGCAAAACAAAGCAGCTCTTACTAACCGGGTATACACTGTACACGGTTGCCCTCGCACAGTGAGCCAGGAAGGCGATACTTAAAATAGTCTGGACTATTGGTTCACGCAAAAGCCACCCGTCGCCCCTGAAAGCTGCATCAAGCCCAAAGGCCCATGCTGCATCTTTTTGGGAAGCAAGGCACGGAAGGGGAGGACACTGCAATCCTGAAAGAAAAGAATCGTGTACAGCAATTGGGATGTGGGGAGACTTGGCACACGCATTTGGCACAGACGCTTGAACCTCTCGTCATTGAAGTATGCACAAGCCCACACGACGAGCATGGCAAGCTTCGTACAAAGCTCGCATAAGCATCGCAATCGCGATGCTCGCAAGCCATGGGAAGATAGGAGAAGTCTTCTCCCGAGCGACGTCCGAGAATCCCGGTCTTCAGGACTCCGGACGCTTCGTGCGTGAAGGCTCGTTAGACACGAGCGTGTGGTGGAACTTTTTGTACAGGGGACGCGGCGGTGTGTCGTTGACAACACGACCTCAAGTTCCCTCCGGCTCTGCTCAGCTTTGAAATTTTCCCAGCCGCGTGTTGCCAAGTGGCCGACCCCCACGAGTCTGCGGCCGCCCCTCTGACGAGGTTCAGAGTTCACAGGGCTGAGGGTTTTAGAATGCAAGGAGTTTGCAGAGTCTACAGATTTTACAGAGTTTACACTAAGTTTACACGCTTTAGCCGCTTTAGGGGTTGAGATGGGTTGAGGATTGCAAAAGTTTGCAGATACTCCATCAAGGCCCCCCAACACATCCGCCTGGGCGTGAGCCGTCTGCCGCAGCTCCTCCAGCGACTTTTCGAGCCGCACCAGCCTTTGCAGAGCCCCGAAGGCACTCCCTTTTAGCCCTTACACATTGCACCGCACTGCCAATCTTCACTACGAATATCACATAATACCACTACGTCACACTTCCCACAGGTTTCCCCCCCCCACATTCTGAATTCTGAGCCGGCCTCTCGGCCATGTCCTCGACCATCTGCGCTTGCTCCGCTTCACCGGAGATTCCATACTGCCGGCTTGTCGGCGCACACCACCAGAGGTAGCTGCGTTGGCAGATGTCCTCGTTCATCCAGGGCCGCTCCAGCAGCAGCCCATTGAACCTTAAAGCATGCTTCTTGCTCATGAAAACACTGCTCTCTGTAGACTCTGTAGCACCCATTAAAATCTATTGCCCAAGACAGCACGACAGTGTCTCTGAGAGCTCAGTGAGAGCTCCAAAAAGTTCGAGGCTTGGGGGCAGGTAGAAGGCCAAGGAGAGCAGGAGTGCGGGGATGATCGCGGGGCAGTCTTCAATCACAATGCACAAGATCCATCCTCCGAAGGCCAGGACCGACACGATCAGGTAGCCCAACTGCCACATGCGTCTGCCTGTGCCGCCTGTGCCTGTGCTGTCTGTGCTGCCCGAGTCGTGGTTGCAGCACATGGGCAGCTTTGGCTGCACCATGCAGTGGACGCAAATGGCGGCACGCTCCTGGAGAAACAAATTGGTTGCGTGGATGTGGGCTTCGGAGTAGGCCCTTCCGTGGACAGCGATGAACAAGTTTAACAAACTGATACAGAAGATAATCACCGCGATCATCAAGCTGGCCAGCGTGATGTAGTCTCCTGCCGCTGTGTTTGTTTCATTCGTTTCGTTTTTGCACTTTTGTCCTGGTATGTTCGGAGGGCCGGGGCTTGGGAAGGTTCGGGTTTAGCGGTTTAGCGTCGCTTGAGGGACACGGTGCATGCTTTTGGCCAGTCTCCGTTGCCAAGACTGTCGCCACGGTTTCCAAGCTTCAGGACCTGTACGATGCCGTCACCATCGACCATGAAGAGCAGCTTCACAGTCCCCACGAGGATTTTATACGGACCTGGAAGACTGCCGGGGTCCCCTTGAAAGCTCTCTGGTTTTTTTTCGTTCGACTCTTCGACTCCCTTGGACTGCCAGTTCTTCCTTCCAAGGCACCTTCCACACCGTTATCCAAGATCATGAAGGCATGCCAGAATCCAGCAAAAACGAAGGTGCCTTGCAGAGAACAGAGTTTCCAGCACATGCTCATTTTCATACTCTCCCTCCCCCCCCCCCCCCCCCCCCCCCCCCCCCCCCCCCGCTGTAGCCAAGCTGCAGATGATCCCCATTCCCCCGATCTTCTTGACAGAATGGAGGATGGGAATGATCCCTTTCACGCCGATCATGCCAAGCTTGAAAGCTCGCAGTGCGAAGAGCATCTGGAACCACCGAACAAAGACCAACACGGCGAACAGCTCCTCCTCCTCATCAAGGCTGAATTGGCCAGAGTACAAGGCGCGTCCAACCACGACGTTGAAGATGGAGATTACCGCCACGTCTATGTAGTTCCCGCCATTGCCGAAGTATGACCTCGGGTTTTGAAGCTGGATGCAGAAGCCATAAGCTTGGAAGGCTTCGATGTAGGTATCTCGAACAGCGCTTTCGAACATGAACGTCCACGAAATGCGGCGCTGCCAAAAAGGCACCTCGGGCAAGGGGGCTGCCAGCAACTCAGGGGCAACTTTTGGGAAAAGACATTGCACTCCTATACTCACGTGGCCCCAGCTTGAAAGGGTTGAAAACCGGCCTGCTTGCCATTGAACTCCTGTGATTTCGAATAGGTCCAGGCAGAGAGCACAAGCAATTCCAGAATGCGGTGCAGCAGTTGCAGCAAATACCACCTCAGCACGAAGGCATCCCAACAGTAAGTCAGGATGGCAGTGACAGCTGGGCTCCGGAAGATCTCCACATACTTGGTCTCACTGAGTGCCTGCAAGACCTCTGGACAAACGATGCCTTTCAGTCGTAGCTGCCGCATGTGCACGGGCTGCAAATCACGGGAATCCACATACTTTTGCTGGTTCGTCCGTTGGTTCTGCAGCTTCACAATGTGCGCGAGTCGATTGGACGGAGCATGCGACATCCGCCGTCCCTTGCGCACCGCGCGTGCGCCGGGAGCTAGGCGGTCGTGCCAAGCAGGCCAGGCTTTCGCCCTGTCGCCAGTTTCGGTGTCACATTTCCAGCTGTCATCGGTGTTGTAGTCTGCCCTCAGATCTTTCAGAATGGCTTGGTTGGGCAAGGGGTGGTAGTACACGCTGTCCTCGTCGGGCTCCACCGTCAAAATCTCCAGCAAGTAGTCAGCAGCATCAGGGGTATTGTCCAGAAGTGCTATCCAGTGTTCCACCGTGAGGTTCTCTTCTGTCTGCAGCTCATCTGCAACGTTGGTTTTGTGTGCCACTTGGTCTGCCGACTCTGCGCCAGCATAATCGCACAAGAGGTTCCGAATGAACTCCGTTGTCGCACTGGGACAGTGCTCAGACACGATCATGATATCTCCAATGCGAAATTTTGCGAGAAGGTAGAGCCGACGCTGTGGGAAGACTCCAGACTCCACGGCCACCTGAACCACATCCCCCGGGCCGTAGGTGTATGGGGATGACAAAGCAGGCACCCCCTCTAATCCCACCGACCCATGCGCAGACTGCACCCCTTCATTTCGGACGTTTTTGCTGGGAATGGGCCCTAGGCGACAGGTGGTCTGGCTTCGAACAGAACAAGCACCGCTGGGCCCCGGCCGAGTCGGGTCGCGTAGCGTTAACATTCGATCAATCAAATCACGCAAAAATAGCAAAGCGTGTCGGGATTCAATTGTCGGAACGGTGGACTAGCAGCAGCAAGTCCACGCTAGAGGTTGCGAATGCTGAACATCAACAGCTTTGCGCCCCGCTGTTCCTAAACCCCACATGCAAGGATTTATGTACATTCAAGTACCGTCCTTCGCCCGCTCATTCAAGCAACATTTCGGTACAGTTGCCCGCCTTATCATCATAACCTTCCTGCCGGCAAAATTGCCCTCGGAGTGCCCTGCTTATGATAACAACATTCCGGCACCGTTGCCCGCCTGAACATCCCTGCTTTACATATTCAATCAAACTTCCGGTAGAGTTGCCCGCCTGAGCCCCCTGACCTGCTCGTTCAGGCAGAACTGCCCGCTTGAGCCTTCTTGCCATGCTTTTACACATCAATCTGGTATAGAGCCTCCCTTGCCTGCTTCTTGAAGCAGCATTCGCTCACCCTGCCAAGCCGAAGCCTCTATTTCTGCCCTGGCAGAGCTAATGCCTGTTCAAGAAACATTCCGGCACAAGTCACATGATGTGTGCAACTTCCGTGCCACCTCGTCCTCAACACTTCAACAACCCCACTTGTCGGGTGGAAGGAGAGGCGAACCGCGCCTCGAGCGCGCTTCGATTGCTCTCATCCCGGAGCTCTGTGTCAGCCTCGTTGCGCACGAGGAGCTCAGCCACCTCCGATGCACCCATCCTGGGCTACCAGCGGGCAGAGACTTCGTCTTTAAGTCAGGAAACGAAGGCAACGGAAGGAGCGCAACAGAGCGCAACAGAGCCCAAAAACACCCCAAAAAACCAAGGGGAAGCATTCAGAAACAAACCCTGGCAACTTCGCCGCCACGTGCAGTGGAGTCATTCCTGAGCGTGCGTCTGACAGACAATTACTCAAGAAGCAGTCACAGCAGCTGCAGCGACTGTCCCATAAAAAAAACCTCTGGACAAAACACAATGTTAGGATTTCAGTTGCGGAACGATCCAAATTGAGCGCATTCACACTTGCGCCCTTCTCCAGCAAGTACTGCACCATGTCCACATCGCGGAAGAAGACAGCCTTCGCTGATGTCATACGGGAAATTTTCTTTGCTCGCTTGTCTGTTTGATCCCAGCCTACGAGGGTATTCATGAAAACATTTGGCTAAGTGCAAGCAAACGTCATCGTGGAGCGGGCAAAAATGATCTGCACCGTCCACCTTGACCCGCGCATTGACATCTGCCCCGGCGTTGATCAACAGCTGAACATTCTCCAGGCAGCCCTGCAAGCAAACAGGACTGTGCAACTGCGGAGATCGTACCGCCACCTTGAAGAGGTGGCAGTGGATGTACAATGCACTCCGTGCTTAGTGGTCTGTGTGGGAGGTCTACTCTTGGGCCCTCGCCTGCACTGCCAGGTGGATGGGCTGTGCTCGGCCTTCCTTCTCGAAGGTCATGTACCGGCACTCGAAGTTTATGTCCGCTTGCAAGTCCTGCGGGCTGACTCGGGGAGGAGTATGTCTGCATTCCTCCTTTCCCACATGCAAGAAGCAGAAGGTTAAACTTTTTCGTGCTCTTCATAGCGAGCACCCGCGAGCTTGCGCGCACGACTTGCTCTGTGCTACATTAGATAGACAAAAAACATATATGTATGTATATGAATGTAATGTAGATGATGTATATATATATACATATATTATATGTATATAATGTATATGTTTCTGTATATACCTTCATTTAGGTTTATGTAGAAAAAGCAGCTTTCCGCATACATGTACTTCCCACACCGCAGGGTCCAAGAGTTGCTCGAGGAGCTCGCCGTCGGTTTGGAGCGCCGCGATGTGGATGGCACCGCCGGTACACTTCCGCTTCTTGTACCTGGGGGGGGGGGTGCGTTTAAAGGGCAAAGGCTTTTATAGGGCCTCTGGGTTTTGCTTGGCAACTTCTGGACCTGGAGCATTTATGGGCGAGGCTACCTTGGGGGGGTTTCGGGTTGTTGCCTCGGTTTTTGGGAGATTCCAGGATTGCGGAAACACAGGCACATCCAATTTCAGGGTTTGTGTTTGCACCCGGCGTACTGGAAAGTGAAGGGGTAGGAGCCATCCAGCAGTGCCCTGCAACTCGCGGACTCCCTTCCCTCTGCAAGGATCATGTAGATCTCCTCAAGCCTCAGGTCAACCACAAACCCTGGGCCCTTACAGCCGCGAATGTGTCACTCGGACGATGTGGCTATATTCTTTGCGTGCTGCGTGCACGTAAGGAGCAACACGCCCTAACAACATCTAGCATGCCTACGGAACACGTGGCGAAGCCATTCACATGCGCAGTGCATCTGGGCTCTCACTGGGCTCCCTGATGGTCAAAAACTGAGGTGCCAGCTGGCTCTCGAACGTGCGATTGAGCGCTGCCGTCTGGGTGCCACCCGCTGACTTGTTGGTCTTCGTGGAGAAACCAGCCAGCTTGGCAGGAGACAAGGTGTCCAGCGCGACTGTTCCCTGTGGAACCACCGCGTTGGGCAACACCTCTTCCATCTCGCCCGTGAGCGGCACAGTTCCCTGTGGAACCACCGAGTGCGGCAACGCCCCCTCCATGGCACACAGCTATCTTCATGCGGCTGCTTGGTCTCTTCGTTTGGTTCAGGGATGTTCGGATGGAGAGGGTGTAAGGTCGGCGCAAAGCGCATCTCAGAGAATGCCTGACCGAGAACCACGGACTGAACGTAACTGCGCCCTTGGGGACGGTTTCAAGTCGTGGCCCCAACAGCTTGCCGAGCTTCAGAGCCGACAGCAACCAAGACCTGGGACCTTGGCTCCTGGGAGGAGCAAGACCCAAAAGCCCCCAAAGTGTGCATGTGCAAAAAGGGAGGGTTGTAGAATTAGATATAGATGTAGAACAATGATGACATATGGAAAGGGATACAGATACAGATACAGATACAGGGCACAGTTGGTAAGTCTTTTTTGTATGTCTTATACATGTTTGCTTTACTTACTTGTTACTCTTTCATTTGTATCTCTGCACGTGTACATGGTATGTACATGTATACGTGCATGCTTTATGTACATTTGCAATCAGATTTATGCATGTTTCGTTGATCAGTTCACTGATATTGTTTCTAACCACCCTAAGCCCGAAACACGAACCGAGGAGATGCTTCCATTTTTCCTCACTCCGCCAAGGCTTTCTCGGTGGCCGCCCGCCGAGCCCGGCGCTCGTCTTGAAGCAGCCTCACCTCCTCCCTCTCCTTCCTGGCAGCCGAGTCAATTTATTTGGCATCGCTTTGACTGGATTCGAGAGCTTCGAAAAGTACCAAGCGCGGCCGGTGTGACTCTGCCACGTCCGATTGCTTCTGACTGCACAGCGGGCACCGTGCCACGTTATCCGCTTTCCGTGTCGTGTGATCCAGCAGCACGCAGCAAGGCAAGTGAGTGCAGTATGCTGTCGTCTTTACAGTACAAACGAGCATGACATGGTCGGATTGATTCTAGCAGCCAGCAGCCAGCACGCTGTATTGTTGAGGCTGCGGCCTGATGAGAAACTGCAGAAACACGATGGCCAAGATCAACGTCGGGATCATCGGGCTCTCGGCTCGCGTGCTGTATGCTCTCCGACTGTATGCTCTCTTGCTGTATGCTCCATAAAGCAGCCGAGCTGTGCACGCGAAAGTCCCAGTGCTGCTCCGGCACCTCGGATGCAGCTCTTGGCCAACATTTGCTCGGCCGATCTCGGCCGGCTGCTCGGCATCGGGCAAACGTGCTCCAGAGTTCTTGAGCTTTCTTTGCCTGGCGGCAGCTTGGTGCTTGCGATCGCTTTTGATAGCTTGTGAACCCTCCGCGGGCATGATACGGGAAGCCGAGCCCGCGACCCTCTCAGCAGCAGACGGCCCGGCCGAGTTCGAGCTGTTGCTGAAGGACCGCCTGCTAAAGAAAAACGCCAACCCGACGTGAACTGTGCCGTTGCGACCACGAAGGAAAAACTGTCAAGTTGGAAGCTTCCCCATCTGGACATTCTCACGAGGGTCACTGCATGAGGGTCACTGCATGAGGGTGCCCGGCGATCAAATTGACCTCCACAACAGTCAGAGCCCGCAGCGGCCTGGCAAAGCTCGAGCTGCGGAAGGTCCGCCTGCGAAAGGGAACTGCGTCGCTCAACGCAGCTGACATCACGAGGCTCGGCGTGGGGCTGCAGCAGTGCCGGCATGTCCGGTGCCTGTCAGGGGCTTCTGGCAGTTCAGCATGTGCAGGAAGCGCGTGCCTTGCAGGGGAAAGCCATGCATCACGAGACTTCTTCCATGCAGCATCTGCGAACAAGGTGGCACATGGCATGCAGCCTCCCGCGCCATGCCCGCTGCGCAGCGCCCAGAAGCCGCAGCCTCGAGAGATGCTCTGTCCTTAAGGCTCCCCCCCCCCCCAGTTTTGCTCCCGGAGAATTGTGAGAAGCGCTCTTTTGCCTGGCAGAGGGCATGGAGAGTGCCATGGCTGCTTGCGGGGCAATGTGGCAGCGACTGCCGAGTTGACTGTAATTGGGATAGCTGCTTTGTTCTCTGGACCTTTTGGGGCAGGAACCGTGCAATCTGGCATACGGTGCTCACGGCATATCACCACTACGCAAATGCAGCAGCGACACTACAAGTTTCAACGATGCTGTGACCTGGGGTGGGCGGCGCTCTTCTGATGGCTTCATCTCAAAAGGTCTTCGGGTCCAGCATGTAAAAGAGAGACGCAGGTTCGAAGAGAAGACCGCGCCTCTTGCTGTGGGCAGCACATTGCTGTTCTGGGCCGGGATGTAGGTTCGAAGGTTTCTGGTCAAGATTTTGAGGGCAAAAATTGAAGGGGTGCATAGGCAGCATCTGAGGAGCCAAAAGGGTTCCGAGTTTTGCGAAGCTGTTGTGGAACAGGCGGTTCAAAATGTGATGAAGCGGGGCTGATAGTTTGAAGCCTTGGCGTTTGAATCATTTCGCTGGGATACTGCCTACCGAACTTGGCAGAGCTTGTGGTGGTGAGATTGCGCCCATCATCGTGCGAAGGCACAAAGCCTTTTCTCATAGCGGATCAGGGCGGGCTGATTCATACAGCATTGCACAGTGCTCAAGTGACGGAGCCTGCGAATGGAACGCGCTCCACTTTTGCACCTCTGGTCTATGCGATTCGCTCTACCAGCGGTCGCCGCTCTTCTCGTCCTCCTCGTCGGACGAGTCCAGCCTTTGAAGAACGAAGTGCTGCATGGGCCCTCACTGTGAACTTCAGATGCCAAGCGTCAGGCCCGATACGATCCAAGTCGCCCAAGTCTGGGAGGTCGGACTTCCACCTACAAAGGTGGGAGTCACAGCTTTCGAAAGCTCATCCAAAAAAGCGTGTTTTAGGCTCCCTTATCTAAGGCACGCTAGGAGCCAAAAAAACGGGTCTCAAGACGCCCCTTGAGTCACGTCCGGTCCCTGGCCTGCGGCGGCCGGGCAGGTTGGCCCTGATCGCCTGCTTGTGAGTAGATCTCTCAGAGCAGAGGAGTTTTCTTTCCACAACATAATATCGGGGTCTTCTGACCACAAATAAAGGGACTGTTCGGAAACCCCTTCTGGGCCCCTTCGTGCGGCCTACTGGTAGCTGGTGTAGTTACCCCAAAAGGGACAATTAGTTCAGGGCTCTTGCTTTCTGGCGTTGAGCCTTTCAGGGTTGTGCAGGGCACCCTCGTCAAAGAATGGGCTCTCGAAGTCAGCTGTCAGCCTGGCGCTCTTTTCCAAGGCGGCCGCACGGAAGATCGCCAAAGCGTGCCCAACACCATTCAGCGGAAGTCACCGGCGTGGCCAGCCACGTTACGTCTTAGCATCTTCGCTCCTGCCCAAGCCGTCTATGCTCAGGCAGCGCAGCTTCTGGCCACTGATCAGACTTCTGCGACTCTCTGCTGCCCTCAGCCTTCTGGCAGCTGTCACACCACACACTGAATCGAAAATGGCATTCTGCCAAACTTTACTAACTTCTTCGCATTGCAGACTTTGAGTTGGCAGATCAGGTCTCGCAACCGAGTACCACGTGACAAGAGAAGGTGTTACTACGTGTTACTATGTGTTACTTGCCAATCGTAAAGTGTTTTGCAGAGACCTCGCTGCAAAGGGAGCCACGCTGGAGTGCTGCAGCTGCGGCTGCTCTGGCTCGGTGCTTTGAAGCCCTCGTGTGCCCTGAGGTGGTGAGAGTGGTGAGACAGCAACATCAGCAACCCATCGCAGCCTCAGTTTTTGATGGCCTGCGCCGCCACAGTACTTTGCACCAAGTCGGTCCTGCACGAGGCGGCAGGCTGGAGCGAGCTGGCGGGTAACAATACTGTTAACGCTGAGGGCGAAACATGTCGGTAATGGTGGGATAGTCGAAGACCTCGATGGCCCCCCAACGACAGCGACTGTCAGTCGTACTGGCTGCCACTCTCCAGTCTCCTTATTCTCCCCCTAAGTCAAATATCATTCTGCAAGCTATCGCAAGCCCCGCACCAGGGTCATGGGGAGGTTCGTGCCAAGCTCCTGAGGGAAGACCACTTGCGCGACGGCGACAGCAAGTGCAACAAAACACATAACACACCAATTCGTTCTGGACCGGCCTTGCTCATCATGTCTCGCAGATAAATCGCTGTATTGCTGGTGAGGCCGGCCTGTCAGCACTCCTACAACGAATCGCACCCACGGCTATATACCTCATCACTGCCTTCTCCCAACGACCCTGTGGGATCGTGAGCCCCAAACGCTTTCGGAATTCGCACCTCCATGAGCGGCGTCTCTGCATGGATGTCTTCTACGTCCGTGTCAGTGACGATGGCGACGATGTCACGCACCTCACAGTACATCACAGTACCCAGCGTGCGAAACGACCACTCAGTTGGGGGGCTCTTTGACCGGTTTTGGCCCCGGATTTGAGCCAAGAAAACCTACGAGCACCCCCCCCCTTCCCAAAGCCTTCCCCCAGAGTTTGGAGATGTTCGGCCACCCGGCCTTCGCCTTCACCGCCTCTGGAGTCACAGCGCTCATGTCCAGCGCCGGCCTGGAGAAATGTGGGGAGAAACCGCCGTAACCTGCCTGAGCACTAGCAAGAGTAGCACGATTGAGAACAATGGTGCCAATCATCAAAATAGGAACAAAATCCAGAATCATAGCAAGCGTAGCAGTAAAGTCATGATAACTGATGGTGAATGATGTCTAATGATGGTGATGACCCTCATCACCGCAATCATGGTCACGAATATGGTCATGAAGATGAGGAATCGATGGAGTCCAACATACAATGTCAATGTAGCACGTCGCGCTTTATGACGCTATGCCTACAACATGTCTGCGATAAGACACTGTCATCACTGTCTAATATATACTGGCTAAGATCACAAAGTGTCGCTCGAATTCAGTCTTCAGTCTGCGCCGCAGATGCAGTCGTGCTCTGAGCGCCGAGGCCCGGCAGAGCGCTGCACGGCCTTGGTGGCGCCGGCTGCGGCCGCCTCCTCCAAGAGGAACCCAGAGGAACACGGAGGAACACCGAGGAACACAGCTAAAGGAAGGCAGAGGCAGAGAGACACCTTTCAATACCCAGCGATGCTTCAAAGCATACAGAGAGAAAGCGAGCCTCCGGTGCCGCGTCGGCCTGTTGCAGCCACCTCTCGGATGTTGCGACAAAGCAAGGCGGAGAATCTCAAATGCATACTCGAACAGCTCGAGCTGTTTTGTTTCTTGCTGCTGTCTTGCTGCTGTCTTCTGCATTCTGGGCCCCCAGCACTGGCGTGACGTCTGCCCCGGGCACCGTTGGTGCCATCGGTGCCATCGGTGTGGCCGAGGGCCTTGGAGGGTGTCCAGGGAGGGTGGCCAAGAGGGTGGCCAAGATCTCAACTCAGCATCCTGCCTGCTGGTGGCCATGAGGCTGGGGTGCTTCAGCATCTCAGCAGACTCTGAAGAGTCAATGGCAAACTTGAGGCATACGAGCCATGACCCGAAGCTCCCCGAAATGTGCGATGAAAAGCCCCAAGTTTCTCACGAGCGAAAAGGAACGAGCGAAAAGGAAAGAAATGTTGAGAGAGTTTCAACACATTGCGTTGAAACCTTGAGTTTGCTGAGTGCCTACTGATTGAGTTTGCAACTGCCTTACACTGCCGTACACTGCGCGTCAAGAGACGGAGGGACCTTAGGCCCCGACCACCCGGGCCCGTTGCTCGCCCTCGAGGTCCTGAGGACTGACTAGAACCGCAAGATCGCAAGCCTCGCTCTCTTCACGTATCGTATATAGCTGCTGCTTCGCTTTGTTCTGTCACAGCTTTCCAGCCCCAGCCGGACTCCAAGACAAGAGAAGCTTGAACTAGCGTCGTGACAGTTTCGCTCACAACAAAACCATCTCCCCGCAGACTCTCCGGCAGACTCTCAAGATGACACGTAGTTCATCCGAGACGTTTCTATACCGCTGGCGGGATGAAAGTAGTGAATCCTCCTTAACGACGAGGGTCTGGAGCGTTCACTTTACCTGTCTGTCTCGCACACCCCCATGGCAAAACGGATCCTGGCAGTGCTGGTAGAGCATGAGTGCCTCCTCCGCTGCCTGCTCTCAGCACATGCGTGACTTTGTTCGAGGTCGCGTGGCCGTGGTCGCTCTTTCGTCCCTCTGGCTGCGACTTCTCGCGCCTCACCTGCCTCCTTCGTTCGGTTCAAGACCTCGGACAACAGAGGCCCTGTGAAGAATTTCGAAGAGATGGCAAATGATGGCAACAACAGGCAACACTCACCCCGCAGCTGAGAGCCGCACAAAGAGATTGTCGCAGGCGAGCAGGAGCGCGTTGGCCTGAGTTCACCCGCAGCAGGAGCTCCATTCTCGTTCTTGCAGACAGCGTACACACTGTGCACAGCGTGTACAGTGTACAGTGTACAGTGTACAGATGGGTACGGCCTCCAGCTCGTACTCCTCGAGCTCCCGGAACCGCAAGACCTCAGTGACCCTGCGACAGCCTGCGACTCTGCGATTTCGCTCTCGCTTTCCGCTCACGTCGAGAAGTGCTCTTTCCAAGCGGCAGCTTCGTCCAGGCTCACCAGGGCTTCGCTAAAGAGGTGTTTGAAGGTTAGCGCCTCTCAGAGTCTCAGCTCCCGGAACACCCGAAAACTCACTCCAAAAGAAGCCTTGGCCAAGCCACATCTACATTATCTACATTACATACTCTTCGACTCTGAAAGCAGCAAGCTTTCAAGTCTCTCGGCCTGCGCCCGGGCACACAGCAGCTGTCCGTGGAGCTCCGGAAACGCACTGGTGGTGACCTTCAGCAGCTTCAGGCCCGCCTGGCGGCTGAAATCTGAAACCCAGACCTGTTCCCGGACCCCCGTTCCCGGACCCGCAGTGCTCAGCGTGCCTCGGCGGACTTCAAGGACTTCTCCAAGGCCTGAAGTCAAGTCAAGTGCGGCACGGTATGGCCATTTGATCCCTGAGTTTAGCATCGCAGGGCACAGCTATCAGTACAGAGATGTACAGAGCATGTCCTCGGGAGGCCAAGGACCTGGCATCTCTGGCGGACCGGGGTGCTGGCTCTGGATTTTCCAAGCTGGCACCTCCAAACTCAATCGCGCAAACCGATCCCCCGTCCGGAGCAACCCAGGACTGCTGTGGCGATCCGCGGCGGCCTTCCCGGGCTGCTAGGCGTGCTGCGTTCTCGGACACCACGTAGAGGCAAGCGACCTCCGAGCATCGGAGGTCCACTCACTGCTCCCGGGAATCGGGGTGAGAGCTTTCAAGCTTGCACGGCAAGCTTGCAAGCTTGCGTGCAAAATTGGCTGCGCAGCTCTGCATTCCGCGCCTCGTCTTCTGTCTGCTCCAACTCGCGGTACGCCGTTCGGGCCTCAGTCATCAAATTCTACACCCTACGTTACACTTTGTTGCTCCGAAGCGCCGTGTCAAGACTGCTTAGGCAACGGATCCGGGGGCCCGTGCACGCTCTGCCCAGTTCACGGCTGCCTGCATTTCTCGGCAACGGCGGCAATGGTCAACGGTCTCTTTTCTAAGGACCCGTGGAACGCGCTCTCAAGGGTCGCACCTTGTGGTCGCCCTTCCGCCACAAGACTTTGCCGCACAGTAACCTCGCATCAGCCTCTTCGCTCTTTTGCCGCTCCTGGCCAGAGTCTAGGCATGTGGAACTCACCAACTTAGCCACAAAACGTGGCGGGGGGCCTGATGGTAGATGTTGCAAGCCTTCTGTGCACTTTGGAAGGCTGCTTCGTAGTCAGTCATCTCCAACCTCACACCCATCTCTGCACATAGCCGGAAATGAAGAATGTTCATGGCTCCATGACCTTGGTTAATTTCGGCTTCAAGAATCCTGGGCATCCGACTGAAGTTGGGCACAACGCAGCATGGCCTTTGCTTGACCCCTGGCCTGAGCGAGCACACGGTGACTCAAGCAGGTTCTCCACGCTTGAATTGATGCTTGCTATGGAGTGGGATCGTTTTTGACAAGTGCCAGGTCTTTCCCTTCTGCAGCAACTGTTGTCAGGACTGGTGTAAGAGTTGACTTATGTTTGAAGGGAAGAGAGACAGCAAGGGTGATCTGGGATCTCAGAAGTCGTGCATAAACTCTGCCAGTGAACGTCCCCCGCCACCGCGAAGTGATTGCGAAACTCGTTGGCACGCGCCAACGCATCCTCAAAGCATTCAAAGCAGTGAAAGCATTCAAAAGCCACCCCGATCCTATGGTGTTGATTGAAATGCAGGATCCTCGAGGTCGGCCGACTGGATCTGGGCATCGCAAAGCACCTCCATGGCATCTGCCTCAGCTCAGATTGGGTGCCTCTCATTCCCTCATTCGGTAGTTACTGCCGGAAGGAGAGTCGCAAGACTTCGTGAGCCTCCCTGATTCCTCCCTTGCCCTGGTGCCTTCTCATCGCGTGCAGCTTTGGCATCGTCTAGCAGCCTCGGCATTACAGAGCATGCTGCGCAGCTGCGGCTGCCGGAACGGCACGGCAGCTGCAGAGCTTCTCAGCCAAGGGCTCCCAGGCATTTTCTGCCATGACTTTGGCCTTCAAACCAACAAGACAATCGAGAACACTGATTCGCCCGACAGTTTACACGTGCGTGTCACTTTCTTGAGTGTCAAGAAAGCCACTTGTGGCCGCCTTCTCGACGTCGCCCGCCTGAAGGCGTGCGCGGGCCAGACGGACCATCAGGGCCGCCTGGGCCGCTGTTGCGCCGGTCTCCTGGGTTCAAAACATTCGGGGCCTGGGCTTGTGACTTGTGGAGACGCGACTGCTGCGGGAGGGGGGGGGGGGGGGGGGGAGGCGTGTACCCCGCTTTGCAACCAGAATCCCCACTTTACAACCAGAATCCCTATACTTTACAACCCAGAAGCCTTTCCAGAATTCCTACTTTGCAACCGGTTGCGAAAGCTACTTAACAACCCAATTAACTGATAACGTCAAAGCTTAGAATCTCCAGCATCATCCCTTACGGCAGCCATGCAGGTTGGAAAGTGATGCCGGTTGCAATGTGGGCGTTCTTAACCCGAATCCACGACAGATATGTGTGTATATACATATGAAAGCCAATACATGAACCCCAAATTTTATTCCATTTGATGTTGTATTTATGGTTTTAGGCCATACAAGTACTGTCAAACAATGACTTTCCGTTCTTGTGTGTTTGTTGTAGGGAAAGCATACAACAAATGCTTTTTAGAAACCCAAACCACCAACCCACCACAGGCAAATCTGGGAGTGCAAAATGCAACCAAATTCCTACTCCGCACTCCACAGCACCTCGCTTGGCGGACGGACGCTTTTTTCTCACCAGCGTGGACGCAAGTTGTTTGAGTCATTTTAATTTGATGATGTTGTATTATGGTTTTGGGCCATACAAGTACTTTCAAAAAATGACTTTCCGTTCTTGTGTGTTTGTATTGGGGAAAGCATACAGAAAAAATGATTTTTAGCAACCCAACCCACCAACCCACCACAGGCAAGGCTAGGAGTGCGAAGCGCATTAAAACATAACCAATTCCTAAATCAGCCCAAAAAACAAAATTGTGAAAAAAGAAACGCTTTTTAACAAAGACGAGACACAAAGATAACAATAAACATAATGGGGTGCGTTCCTTTTTACACACAGACCTACCTAAACCAAGCCACGACAACCTGCGTCGGGTGAAGGCCCCATAAGTTAGACACTTGAGGGAGTCTCGAGGAACCAAACTATATGGAGTCTAGGTAGGTTTGTTGTATTAAAAACTCATGAAATCCCAATAGGTCTTAATCATAGGTAGACGGGTTGCAAAGTGGGCGTTCTCAGGATCGGCAGTTGTAAAGTGGGGATTCTCACACCGGAAACAGTGCCTGTGGTTGTAAAGTGGGGATTCTGGTTGTGAAGCGGGGATTCTGGTTGTAAAGCGGGTTAACCTCGGGGGGGGAGGGGGGGAGGGCGCACTCACCAGCAAGTCGTCCTTGCAGATGAGGATGCAATCTTGCGCTGCCGAGGCAGCCTCCTGATCCGCTTGTGGATGATGGGCTTCTTGAACCACCAAACAGCATTGAAAGACGCTGCCGCGCACAATGCATGCCAGACAATGCACACCACGCATGCGTCCTGCGAGTGCCCGAGTCTGAGCAGCACCTGCATCCCACTATGTCCACAGTCACATGATTCGGCATTTTTTGCAGAGCACGGTGCAGCGCGGTGGAGGGTGGTTCAGCCATGCGCAGCCCATGTGCAGCCATGTGCCTCCACAAGGAGACGCGTGACCTCGATCTCGGCCAATTTGTCTCCCTTCTCGCCTTCTGCAGAGACATGTCCCAGCATGCAGAAAAGAACGAGATCAACTCGGAAGAGAGGAGGAGGGGAGAGAATAGAAGCCAAAAAACATGAGAGACCGAGTCCGAACCCAGCCGAACCCAGCCAAGCAACGCAGTCGGGCTAAGGTCTCGTTGCAGAGGCGCCGAGCACGGCGTGGGTCCACCGGCAGGAGGCCTCCCCGTGTCGAAGACCCACAAGATTTTGACCGGCGCTGCACGTTGCGAGACTGCGACACTGCGAAGTTTCGAAGTTTCGATATAGCACCGCAAATTCCCCCGAACCTTCCACGAGGGCCCGGAGAGCTTGCGGCTCCTTGCGACTTGAGGAAGCTTGCCAGCTGCTGTGCGCTTAATGGCTCGGAGGGACCTGCGGAGACTCAAGGTCCCGGTAGATCTCCCAAGCTTCTTCTGCATCGGAGATGGACCGATCACGATCTCCGAGCTTGCGATTCCACGCCTGAGGGGCATTTTGGCATTCGCGACCTGTCCGACTCTGTCCCCCTAGCGGCTGCTAGGCATGGCCAGGCATGGCTAGGCTAGGTGTCAGGTCATGGTGGCTCTTGGATGCAGCCGAAGTGTCCGAGAGTTTGCTCAAGGTGCAAGCCTCCAGATGCTTGTCCTCTCACAAAGCCGGAAGAGGGAAAAGCCAAACGCTTCGGAGAAAAAAACGGTGCGGAACTGTGTGAACTTCCGAAGAGACAAGACTGTTGGGAACTCCTTGAGCTCCAAAGCCACGTCCAGAAGTTCCTCCGCCACGAGCAGGGCATCTTCCGCGGACTTGTGGAGGCCCGCGGCATCGACCATCAACAGCAGGCACGCCGCCTCACGTCTCGAGTAGAACTCCACTTACATTGTGAGATTTTCGACTGTGAGCGTTTTCAGACAAGAGAGTCCGAGAGGTAGTAGAGAGGACCCGGCTCAAATTGTACATCCAACTGGGAGAGCGCCTCCAGGCGGCGGTTGTTCAGCTCCACGGCCCGTTGCTTGGCCTCCGAACAATATCATCCTTACCCTCTCATCTCTGATTCTCCGATTTCAGTGCAGAGAGAGAGAGAGAGAGAGAGAGAGAGAGAGAGGTCCTCTTCTCGGTTTCCTTCTCATGCTCCACTTATGCTTCCCAATACCATTTCATCCCCGGAGCCCTCCCTGTGTTCTCCCGCCTCCTCAGCATGCCGGAGTCCCAGCTCCAAGCCGGGTAGGTCGGCATCGCCCCTGCCCATGTGCATGTGCTCAAAAGCTGACACACACAAGAGTGAGCTCTTTCGGCATGGGCAAAAGCTAAGAAGCTCAGCCTGTCCATTTCCAGGGCTGCCAAGGCCCGCAGGGCCGCCGCCTTCCGAGTTTCCGAGTTGAGCGCAGCGCAGGCTGAGGCGACATGACGGAACGCGCCTCGAAGCCTCTCCATCGAAGCATTAGGCAGATCGCATGAAGGCACGTAAGGTCAATATCCATAGGTACCCGAAGCCCCCAATCCCTCAAGATCCGTGGACCCATGAACCACAAGAACCGATTTCGCAAAGGGCCGGCTGCAAAGATCAGCGGTCGAAAAGTGAAATGGGCACTTTTGGCAGCCACCAAACACCACTGACCACGAACACTAGCACAGGGGGGAGAGAGGATGCGAGTCCTCTGCTGCCCTCCGAGATCTCGTGGCTTGAAGAGCAGGGACGGGTCAACGCCGATGCCAAACAAAAGCTCTGCACATGCCTACTTCAGGGCGGTAAAGACTCCACTTTGGCGACCGGGACCTCACAGCATCGGCGATACCGAATGAAAGCGTGCATGCTCAGATGATGACAATTCCAGGCGTGGCGCGGGAACAATCTATCCCATGCGCTCAACGGAAAATCAAGAGGGGTTCATGGAGGTTCTCTGCACGTCAACCGCACTCTGTGCGAATCCGGCCAAACGGAAATTCTCGCGGGCGGAAACGTTGCATTGCACGGCATGATCTTCCATAGAAAATAGGCCGATGCGGAACAGGGAACGCATACTCCTTGTACAGAGCTTACGGACTCTATGACCAACATGAATCTGCAGATCACTGCACCGGATCTCCCAGGCCTCCATGGCAGCCGCGCCTTTGTCGGCGAAGGTCCGCCGCGCCTCCTTCACCCCGGCCACCGCCTGCGTCTGGCTTCCAATGCCGAGGGAGGCCTGCATAACAGTCGCGCGCAGCGTTGTACCAAAGCTAACAATTCAAAGGAGTGAGCGCATGGCATGAAACGGTTACACTGTTTCACCATGCTACATTACATGGTTGTTACACACATTTCGGGAGAGCGCCGTGCTCTGGCCTCGGCCACGGAGACCTGCAGCTTGGCGAGCGCGAGGCCCTTCTCGGCCTCGTCTCTCTCCTTGGGCCATGCACGAGCATTATCATGCCACCCAATTGGTATCAATCTGATTTACATTCGGCGTGTTTTGTTTCTGCTCTGAGTCCTGATCATGCTATTGAATTAGTTTGCATTCTTCGTTCGCAAGTTTTACACTCCAGAAGCGGCCTTCATGGCGAAGGCCAACGCTTCGTCGCGGCGTCCCTGGCATTGAGCTGCTGATCACGATTCATAAACTTCACAGCGCGCGTTCACAACCGTGTGAAACTTCGGTCCAAATCCTTGGCCTGCCCAAGAAGAGACTTCACCACCACGCGCATCGCGTCGGCCGCGCCGATGGCATCGCCCGCGGACCGGAAACTCTCAGCCGCCGTCCTGGCGCAGCCCAAACAGGCTCAGGGCATCGCAGATCCCATCCTGGAACAATTGGAACAGTTCGGACGAATTCGATTTGCCGAGGTGCCGAGCTTCCGTCTCCGCCTCCCCGTAGCGCTCGCATCCCAGCAATGCTTCGGCCTGACACAACACGGCATTGACGCCTGCGGCCTACGCCACTCCATGGCACTCCCCCGGTCCTCCTACCGTCTCCTTTTTCCCACTCTCTTCACAAATGCTTCGTTGCTCCGGGTGCTCTATGTGCTCTAGGCCCTAGGCCTGAATGAAGCATTGGCAGCCCTGGGCTGCGGCTCCTTCCACCTGGCCAAAGCATGGGGATCATTCGAATCGTGCGTTATGGCCACGATCTCATGCCTTGGTGCTCTTGGTCTTGTACACCTCGCTCAAGTCATCTCCCAAAGCCTGTGCTGAAACTGAAAAATCTGAGACATCTGGGACGTCTGAGAACAAACTGACACCTTACACCGCACTACATCGGAGCACGCGAGCACCTGCCACATCCCCCAGCGCCCGGAAAGCAAGGGAGTGGAACACTTCAGCCATGACTGAGCCAAAGTTGCAGAAAATATTTCAGAAGTACCTCACACATCAAGTACCGGACTGCATGCAAACCTTGGAGAGAGCTGAGGGGGCCTCCAGGGAATAGTACCTTATGGAGCAGTCTTCATCGTGCATCAGCCATGGGCGACATGCTCGCATCAGAAAGCAACAAACTGCCGCAGATCCACGCGGAGTCACGAACATGTTCATCCTCGTCTTCCATCCTCTGCACTCTGACGCGGTGCTACGAGAGGTGCCCTCCGAAACTCGACTTGCAGAGGCTTGGAGCTGCTGGGGAAGCAACAGGCACCCGGCCTCTCTTCCACCTTCTTGGCAATGTCCTGTAGCGACGGGAGCGGCTGTATCGAGCAGACGCATGCAATGCGGTGCCGGGCTGACAAGGACAACAGAGCACAGGCAATCTCTGCCATTCTGGGCCTTCATGTCTTGTGTGGCAATCTTCTCCAAGAGCTGCACGCAGGCCTGCGCAACACGCTGCAGAGATGGTGTTCTGAACTCCCTGACTTCTCACCATCGCCCTTGTCGTCTCTTTTCTCCAGGGTGGCTTAGCGGCTTAGCGGGTCCTGCAAGGTGCTCACAGCCCCGTGCGGCCAGCATGTGGCCACATGGTGGCCAGCCTTTGGAGTCTACATGGCGAGGACGTCCTGCAACCAGTCGACCCTCGCAGATGCTCGTGTGCCCCCACCTCGATCTCGAGATTCTCTTTCCCGCTTTCCACATGTCGCCACGTGTCCTTCTAAAGCATCCAACCCAGCGTCACACCGGGTCGCACGCTCCGGTCCGGTGCTGCTCGGCCACGCACACATTGCTCCAGAGTTGCCCGTGCTTCAGACTCGACACAGACAACCCAAGAGCAGCTCCGCATCCTCCACCACCCACGAGTTTGCCGGTCTGCTTCTAGCTGATTGGCAAGTGGTCAATGCAGCGCATTGCATCGTAAATGTCGTTGGTCCAAGTGGTCCAGGGAGACCTCCGCATCAGTAGGGCATAGAACCTCAGGGAAGTGCTGCGACAACCCTCTACAAAGATTCTACAACCTCCTACAACCTTCTACATCGCTGTACGAGAAAGTTGGCATGGGCATGCATGGGCTGACATGGGCTCACGGGGCTGAAACGTTTCCGAGCGGCCACTCTACAACCTTGGCAAGATGCTTCTCGCTGCGCTCCTTGCGATCGAGCGTGATCGAGCGCACGTGTGCTTGTAGCAGTGGGTAGAAGACTTCCCGCCCGAATCTACATGCTACCTGTGTTGTATCATATGTTCTTCAAGTCCAGGCATCCCTCTCAGCTGGACAGCGAGGAAGCTTCGGAAAGAAATCCTCCTGACAAGAGTCTCAAGCACGCATCGAGCAACTACGCCATCCCACAGCATGCGACCTAGCCGTGCTAGAGTCCTGAACGATCCCGCGGATCAGCCCCTTGGCATCCTCCTCGGACTCCGTTCCCACTCGCCTCGGAGAGGTGCGGCATTTTAGAGTTGGGAGATTTTTCGAGAGCCCTCAGTTCCTACCGTGACAGTCTCTGACAGTGACAGAAAGATCCTGGCCTCACCTTGCTGATGAGATTTGTCACGAACGTTGTGCCGCGGCCTGAAGCACACGGACAAATTCGGAGATTGAACTGCTGCTTAGGGCAATGCGGCAATGCGCCTTTGCCACAGATGAGATGCTGGATCACAAGGGGCAACATCGTCGACAAGTCGACGTCTAACGCTGGCTTGTGCAGGTCCTGCAACTTGCAATGCAATGCTCCGATGCTTTGCGAGGGGCAAGCGCGACGAGCGCGACAAGCGCGATGCGTCGCAGGTGAGTCGCCGTGTGTCGCGCTGGAAGGGTGGTGCAACCCTCAAAGTCGGCAGACCCTTCGAGTCCTCCGGCTCATCCTCTTGGCCTCGCGACCCCTGGATGTACTCGGAAGGGAACCTGCTCACAGAGGAAAAAGCCACGACTGCAGAGTGCAGGAAAAAGGCCAACGCAGCCGTGCGGCTGGATCGAGCCCTTGCTGTCTCCGTCGATGTCGATGAGCCGGGCCTTCCTGCAATCTCTGGAAACCAACACGTTGTTCATGTGGTTGAAGTCGAACGCCTCCCGACATTCAGCAAAAAAAATGACTACAAGGTGACTACCTCTCGACTACCAAGGATCCAAAAGCACCTGCACCCCCATAAGCGTCAGATCTCTGAAACCATTCAGAAGGCTCACCTTGAAAGCATCGGCGATGACTGCGCGGATCTCTTGAAAATGCGGAAAATTGCGGAAATTCCCCGCCGAGGCACAAGGAGCACCTTTACCTTGATCAAAGAGAACTTGGACTGCATGTCCTTGATGCGCCAATGCTCCTCGAAGTAACTGCGCAATGTTGCACGAAAGCTCCGACACAGCAACCTTGCACACTCGGAAGCCTAGATGTTTGCAACTTCCCTTCACCCTTCAGCCTCCGGCGACAGGTCGCCTGACACCAGCACCTGCGGCTGCCACAAGTGCCGACAACTCAAGACTTAAGAGGTCACGGGGCTCAGAGAAATCGAGCCCATCGACATCTTTCTCCATGTCCCCCGACTGCACATCAAACGCTTCTTGCCCAGCCCTCTCTCACAGCACAACTGCAGACGCTGGGCTGGCAGCGCGGCCTTCGTGTAGTCGTCCATGAACTGCTTCAAAGTGTAGGATGAGAAGTCCTCTTGGTACTGCGAGAGCAAGGTCACCTGCCACCAGGTCACCAGGCCGCACCCGGCTCCACATGGCTCCTCGTTCTGTCAACGAATCGTCCCCGAGTGCCTCGAACTTGTACTCGTCGTGGTTGTTGTTGTTGGAGGCCAGGGCTATTCCTTTTGCACGGACACGGTGGGCCGGTAACGTCACAGAGTTTCGCTTCTAGGAACCCGGCCCAGGCCATAGAAGTACAGAAGCCGACCCTGTTTGTTGAGGGCACCAGCCATGCGCAACCTCACAGCATCGCAGCATCTCGAGTGAAAACATTTGTGGAATCTTGGTGCGTGGACAGCTCTCCAAGCCCAGTGGCCTTTTGGCCACGCCGGCTTCAGACTTGTGCTCCATGGATGCCAGCATCTTCCAGAGGCCTCTCGCAACATCTTTGTCAATCTCTCAGAGTCGCCATCTGCCTTTCTCCCTTTCCGCCTCCCCGTATTTGGGACTTTTGACTTCAAAGTATATCATGCTTGTTGAATGGAAAAACAAGCTGTTTGAGAGAAGGGCTCACATGAATTGTCGGGGTCCGGGCTGAAGGGCCGTTTCACCGCCGCATCCCAGCGCCGCTCGAAGGAGTGGTCGGAGCTCAGGCGCCCTCTCAGAGCTCTGTTGTTGCAACTTTTACACAAGCGATTCTTGTTGCTGAACTTAGCGGAACTTAGTGGAACTCTTTGCATTGGCTGAGGCGGCACGGCCTTGCCGTGTCAGCTCGTGTTTTCAAACCACGAGTTTTTCGTACAGTACCACAAGAACCAGCGGATCACTCTGCGACCGAGCCGCGCAGCCTCAAACCCCTTCGCACGGGTTCCGGGTCCTTTCCGCGTTGTTGCAGATGTGTGTTTTGCCAACGCGAAGTGATCTGCAAGCTGCGCTGATCCGCTTCAAGTCTGAGAAGGACACACACGGCGCTCCTTCTCCACCGCTTCCAACTCGACTCGATGCACGATGGCGTTGGCCCCTGGGATGAAGACTCCACTACAGCTACCTACATTCTTGGATAGGGCGCGCCACACTTTAGGTTGTCCTTACTCGGCCCTTTCTCCAGGGTACCCTGCTCTCTCTGCACAACTACGCCACCTGCATGTAGTACTGTAGGACTGGCGCTACTCTTTCTCGGATGGCATGCTCTCTCTGTCTCTCCCTTCTTGCAGCTTGCCGGCCCATGCCCAGAATGCCGCCCTCCCCGGGGTGGTCGAACTGCTGTCGTTCCGTCTTGCTGGTCGAGATGTTCATGAAGTCCTGAGTGGAAGGTCGGGTCTCGCGTGGCACACCCGGACGCCACACGGGTTGATGCCCAGGTGCGCGCTTGCTACGGGGGTCATCAGAGTAGCTGAAGATTATCGGATGTGTCGAGCGGAACGCCTCTCCTGGCGTTGATGCGGCATGGTATGAAGCTTGATGAGGTCACCCCAACAGCCATTTCAATACAGACAACACCTGTGTACTTGCGTGAACTCGTGCTGCATGACCTGCCTGATGTGAAGTCCCAAGCACGTAGATTCGTGTCCAAGAAATTCTCGGCGAGCAGGGTCCCCGGAGCGCCGGGGCGCTCTTCATGGCCTCACTGTGTAAAAACTGTGTAAACACCACTCAGCTAGCCTGCGGCTGCCCTGTCGCAGGCGCCCGGCGGAACGTGAAGGGCTCGTGCGCCTCCTTTCCTTCCTTCAGCCTCCACATGCCCATGTATTCGATGTATTGGGCAAGTCGCAGACCATGTGCAGGACAGCCCTCATCGGCCAGGCAGCACGGAGAAGATCGCCAGCTCAAAGCGACAGCGCGAATTCCAGCAGATGATTGTGCTAGCACCTCGTACAGCTGTGGCTGGCTTTAGTAGCGACATGCAGCAGAACGAAACGAAGCTCGCAGGCCGCTCAACTGAACCTCCGAGGCACCAAGTGCGTCGCCATTGGTCTTCACGATCTCCAACCCGAACGTAGACTGCAGGCGTGAGATCTGAACGCCCACCTTTAAAGGATGGCACAATGGGCGCAAAGCTCATCGCGCACTCGTTCGCCGCTCTCGTTCTACTGCAAAGGGGCGCCTCCACGGCTGCCTCCTCGAGCACCAGGTCGAACTCCGGAGGCAACCCGAACATCGTGAACATCATCCAGGACTTGCCAATGACACACTTCCTGACACTTGGATCCCACGCCCATCGCCAGCAATGTAACAACATCATCTACTTGTACTCAACTGACTCCTCCTGCGCTCATCGTTTGTCTCTCTGTTTTGTTTGGCAAACGCTCGCCTCTCTTAGCTGGCCGAGGTGCTTCTCGCACGTCAGGTACGAGTTGACACGATCGTTCAGGATCTGTCGAACAGTAAGGATACTTGCTTCGACCTTGGACAAAGGGTCCATTAGGTGCACGTACTGGTCGGCTGTCCTGGTGATGTCCTCACTTCTTCCGAGCAGCAGGGATGACCGCCGCCATGGTACAGACCCCCGAAACCAGAAGCTCCACCTCCACGTGGTGGGAGTCTGGGAAGGTCTCCACCTTCAGCCGCTTGCCCTGGCACAGACGGAGCAGAATATGGTCAGATCTCTACATCCTGGTTCCTTGTTGCGGTGCCGGGTGCGTGTACTCAGCTCAAAGCTACCAGTACAGAGTCTCCTACAGCCTGCCTTGGGTGGGTCGGGCAATGGCCGTAGCTGCGGCGATGGCTCTTTGCCCCTGACAAGACACCACTCCATCTTTGCGATGAACCTTCACAGGCCTCAACTACCACTAGCTGTTCCATGATGGAGCGTGCCCTGGGCCCCCGTTCTTTGGAGCCGTCAGTTGGGAAGTGTTGTTCGTGGCATGCTCTCGTCCCTCCATGCTCCCTCCATGCTCCCTCCATGCTCATGTGAGAGGACCTGAGCCGCTCTTCGATGATCTCCAGCTCCACCAGCTGACGTTGGAAGCCGACGTTCTCCAGGATGAAGGGCCGGCACTTCGACTGAGCCACTCAGGGCTACTGTTCACAGCCCGTATATGCCGCTCGTATAATCGGTTTAGGGGTTTAAGTTTGGGGGCTTATGGGATTGTGGGGCGTAAAGGGCCTATGTGCCATAGACCTTTTGCACGTCATGTGAGCACACTCATGCCTCATCATTTGACATGCCTTCATTTGCCCTTCTTCAACAGTGCAACAAGGTGGTCCCACACATAAAGGTCCTGTCTGCGTCATCTTAAGAGTGCAAGGGTGCAGAGAGTCTGAGCACCACGCACAAACTGTCAGGATCTCCTCCAGCTTCTTCCCCCCCAGGATTTGCACAGCCACCGCTAGAGCGGCCGAGCGGTTTTGCCCCGCCACGCAGAAGAAGAGCACGTTGCCCCCTGCGCTGCGGTGCTTTCAGCGAGTCGAAAAGGGAGAAGGATAAGTGCGATGCACGTTGAGACTCTACTACTAACAAAATAGCAACTCCTCCAGAGGAACTCCTGAGGAGTCCCAGGAGTGCCTGACTTGCGCGCCTGCTTGCCGCACGCGGTCGTAGAAGGACTTAGCGGTCTCCAAATGTTCCGACCGATGGCCCTCACGATCATGAAGGATCGGATAAGCGTAATCGTCCTCAGGGGGGGAAGGGCTTGTCAAAACGCTTTTGAGACTGTCACAGCAAGAGTTTCGCAACTGCGCCTGGCTCACATTCGTGTATCCGTAGGCGATCCCTTAAGTGCACAACTAAGAGACCTTCAAGGAAGGCCAGCTACTGCCAAAGAGAGATATGTCGAGCCAAAACACCGTGGGCAGTGTACATGTCCAGGTTCAGAGAGCTGATGCCGGTGGGTGCACAGTTCATGGCTCCAGTGACCTCAGTCTCTCAAAGAACAACTAAATTCTATACATATATATATATGTATAATGTATACAAGCGTATATGCGGTTTCTTCTGTCTCATAGAATATATACTGTAATCAGAAAATACATATATATATATATATATGCCATATATATATATACACACGCGGCATTTTATGTATAAGGGTTTTCAATTCTTTCCCAAAGCAACCCTGTCTAACACCGCCGGGGCACGCCCAGGCTCACCAGCGTGCGCACGTCCGTGGCGTGCCTCTTGTTCCCCACGAAGAGGCCCTCCCCCACCTGTCACAGCCAAACCCAAGAACCATGAAAAACTGAAAAAGGCGACAGAGAATCCGAGAATCAGGTGCCTGGGACGGGCAGGTGTCCTGGCCCTGGATGGGCTGCGCCACCTTGCCACGCAGCATCGCCAGCTTCGCCTCCATGGTCGCCTCTCAACGCCACGAGCGAGGCACAACCCATCGAAGCCTCCCACAACAGTGGAAACGCCCTTCGAACAGGCCTGAGAGATTTCGAGATTTCGAGATTTCGAGATTTCGAGATGGAAACAGCCTAATTTTTTGACCCTGCGGCACCTCGCTGATCTGCAGGATGCCCGGCAGCTCTCGCTCGAGCAGCTCTCGCTTGCTCGGTGATCTGGGCGTCTCCGTGGTGCTCGCCATGGCGGCTTCCAGGGAAGAGCGAGACTCTCTCTCGCTCTCTCCCCCGCTGGCCCCTTGAAGATCTGGAAAAGGGGGGGGGGCCTCAGAGTGTCAGAGGCATGGAGAGGGGCTCCGCATTCAAGGAATGTCTTGTGATGGGTTTACCAGAACCGGCCCGCAAAGCGCTGCGGTACGGAGAGTTGGAAAGGGCTGCAAAGCCACCCGTCATTAGAGCAAGGGAAGCAGCGCGAGAGCCTGGCGCGTGCCCGGGTCACGGTGCTCGAGGCGCGCCTCCGCGAGGGCGATGGCCTCCACCGACGCGGCAGGGAGAGAGGCCCCTTAGCCCTAAACTTCTAAACCCCTGCAAATTGGAGCAAGGAGAAGGTGCCAAAAAATGCGCCAACAGGCAGTCCGGCCTAGCAAAGAGAATTTTTCCAAAGCGGAAGGAATTGAAATCAGCCTGTCGTCGAACTTCCGCCAAGCGGGAAAGGAAGCGGTCTCTGTACACTGTACAACGTTGGCATTCTGTCTTTATCTACTCTGTCCTATGATGCAATCCGATAACTCTGAGCTTCCCCTGGCTCACCTGGGCCTGGTTCCTCAGTCCTCAAAGTTTTTGAAAGTTCAGCTCAGCACTGCCAGGGTCTACCTCGGTTCTTCCTCCGGCCCTCCCACCGCTTGCTGCTCTTCACAAACATCTCAGATCGCTGGAGCTTTCGAAGGTGCTTCTGCACAGAGCGGTCGTGGAACGGGTTCCCCAAGATCTCGGGCTTCGGGCCGCGCTCCTTGGGAAGCAGCTGGTCGAGCAAGCGCCCGATGTGGGCGACGATGGCCTTGAGCAGCGAGGCGGCCGGTCCCAGTGCCACAATGCTCTCGGCCTTGACATCGGAAACTTCGCCCTTGACCAGCTGGGACTTTCGCATGGCTGTGGAGTCTGTGGAGTCTTCACACGTCACGGGTGTTGGCACGTGTTTGGCCTTTATGCGAAACCCTCTGGGCCCGAACCACGGCGAAACAACATGCCCGTGACATGCCCAGCACTGGCCAGGAGTGGGAGCACTGCAGACCTGCGAGCGCTACTACTGCTACCTACTGCTACTAGCAACAAGCTCCCCCTGGCCTTGCGATGGCCGACGCCGCAGAGCTCCGCGATGCCGTAGATGGCCGCCATCCGCGGCAAGGGATCGAAGTCCTCCGCTGGAGATCGCTGAAGGCATCTAATCAGGTCCCGGGACGGCCCGGACGGATCTGCGGCGGCCTTTTTGGCAACTTAAAGAGAGCGATTGTTCATGAGCACGTCGTGACACTTCGGCGAACAGTTTAGAAACTCCTCCAGCATCTTCGACAGCTTTCGCAACGAGGTCAAGTCGTTCAGCGTTGCCGTCACCGCCAAAGAGTCCGTCGCGGCCTTTACCCATCATCCCGCTGCAACCCTCTGCCAGAGCTTACTCCCAAATTTCTTCCCTCTCATGGCCCCACACTTCAGGGCTTCTGCGGTCTAACCTTGGAGACAGAGCCCGCCTTGCGAACGATCCAGGACCTGCCCCGAAAAAACAACTTGGAGACCTATAGACTACAGAGCGGAGCTCACGTGTTCTTCCGTGGAGATCCGAGAATCTCTCAGCCTGTCGTCGCACGCACTCTTCTCAAGCTCGATGGCGTGCTGATCGCCTTTTTCCTTAAGGCTTCCAGGTCACTGCCTCCCCGCAATTCAACGCCATGCAAACACCAAGACCCCCGCAGCAATCTTAGACACCTCAGCCAGGCCCAGGCTGCAAGCGCCCAAACAAAATCAAAGCTCAACTGCATTGAGCGATTTGAGCACAGTGCCGCCACAACAGCTGCCCTCCGCACAGACTCGTGCCAGTCATCAAGCCTGCACTCTAAGCAGCTGTCACCGCCTGTCGGACTCTCCTTCGCTCCCAATGCTCCACAACATCCCACAACTCCCGGAGCCTTGGGGAGATCCAGTCGATGGCCTCGCGCGTGCCCTTCGGCACCAACGCAGCGATGGCCTTGCACTTCTCACAGGCACAGGCACAGAAGCAGTTGCACCGTTGCACCCTTTTACATGGGGAAAGATCCATGCGCCACTCACGTGCCACCCACACGATGCGCCTTGATGGCAGACTCCCGCACAGTTCCCATTTGGTCCTCGAAGGTGCTCGCTGTCGCGTCTCATGCTCAAAACATCCCTGAACATCCCTGAACATCCCTAAACACACCTTCTCAGTGCGATCTAAACCTTAGGAGGCTCTTTTTCGAAAAAGAAGGGGGCAGAGGATGGCAGAGGTCAGAGGAACACCAGAGGAACGGGCGACGTTGCCTCAAGGAGCCGCTTGGCGGCCGCCAGCGTCTCTTGGCAGCCCTGGCAGCAAAGAACGCTCAGATGAAGAAGCACTACATTCTCAATACGAAGTAACCTAGTATGAGACTCAGTCAACTCCTCCAACATCCTTCCTGGCATTTCTTCGTCGTTCTTCTGCACTGCTGCTCTCTAAGGTGTTGCGCGTTTCTGTCCCACGAAGTCTGGCAGTTGCCAGCAGGCAAGGTACAGCACAACACAGGCGCAAACTCGAGCCCGAGTTACCGGTGCTGCTCTGGAGGCCATGGTGTCAATGGCTGCGCGCCTGACCTGTGCATGGAGCCATGGGAGCTGAACAAGGCAATGAAGATAACCGTTTGGTTTAGATTTTCCAGAGTTTCAAGACTGAAGAGGCGATAGTGTCCCTGGCGTCGTGTGGCAGTCCTGCGGCCGTGCCCTTTTACTCCGCTCCCCTCGTGCGCCTGCCCATGCCTACTGGGCCGCATGCATCGCCGCCCAAGTGGATAGAAGTTATCAGCATCTCCGACTGCTTACCTTCGCAGGCTGCTGGTGGGGCTGGTGGCCCCATGGCCGAGCTGCGCTCCTTCGCGTCACCGCCATCTCTTCGCAACCGGAACACTCTGGCGCCTCTTCTTGTGAGGCGGGGGGTGATCCCTGGATGTGAATGTTTGTGATCCCTTTCCGTTTCACTGCACTTCGAGGCTTCGCTCCTCCGAGCTTTGCTCTGAGCTTTGCTCTGAGCTTTGCTCTGAGCCTTCCTCCAGGTGCTCCCGGAGCTCAGTCAAGTCCAGGCCGGTGGCCTTTCGCGCCCTCGGAGCCCTCTGCTCCCTCTGCTCCCTCTGCTCCCTGGCCCGTTGGATTCGCTCCTTCTTCTTCTGGGCCTTCTTGTCCTGTCTCAACTTTCGGTACCGAGCTTTCCAGAACTCCTTCTTTGCTTGCAGCTCTTCTGGGGTCTTCTTGGGCACAGAGAAGGTGCGGTTCTCCCACTTCTCCTGCAGAAGCTTCCTCACGTCATCTGCACTCTCGGCAGTCACGGCCGTCCGAATCCACTTCTGTACATGTTTCTTGCTTCGCCGGCCCATTTCGAGGCTTCCCCTCGAGGTGTAGTGAATGTGTGGGCCCTCCATGCGCAAGGTCTTCTTGATCTGTGTGGCATAGGCATTCCGCTGATCATGAGGCTTCACCAGGTGATCATCTTTGGTCAAGATGAGCATCATGGGAAGTTTCTTTGCCTGCAACTCCTCTACGAAGCGCCTGCAGGCTCTGCTAGGCGACTTGTGGCTCTGCTGTAGGTGCATCATGAGGCGCAGATCGTAGACACCCTCCTCGCACAACTGAAGATAGCGCAGCACTAAATCCTCCCAGGCAGCCTCCCATCGCTTCAAAACACCCTGGTGAGCCATCTCCTCAGGGTCTGGGTACCCGGGAAGATCGACCAACACAAAGCGGTTGTTGACGACATAGAAGTCGATACTCGTGGTGCGGCCGGCACGCGAGCTGGCTTTGGCTGCATAGGTCCATCGAACAATGTGGTTGATCAGCGAGGACTTCCCACAGTTTGTCATGCCATTCACGGCGATGTGCGGCATTCTCAGCCATGCGCTTTCAGGCACCATCGCGTCCTCACTCAGCTTGGGCACCCTGGGAAGCTCACTTGCCGTTGGTGCTTTCCAGACCCTGTCAACCACGTTGAACTTCCTGGAAATGACCTGGTGGGTCAACGTTTCACTTCTATTTGTTGAAGGTGTGTGTGTGTGTGTGTTAAAATTCTATTGACAACAGTTTGGTTCAGCGTGTGTTGATGGTTCCGAATTGAGTCCTCCATTTCCTTGACAGAGCTGTGGCGCGCTATGACAGGAGGACCTCTGACTATGCATCCATCCTCGCTCCTGGTGCAGTTTTTCCTACGCCCTACATGCCCCACCTGCTCCCAAAGCTCATAGGGCACATCGCCATGGTCGTCTTCTCCTTCTTCGGCTCCGGACTTCCAACGGGGAGGGGCCGAAGGGTTCAACGCGCCCGGGTCAGCGCTGTCCGCTTTCGGGTCTGCGCCTGGGTCGATCTTTCCATCTCTCTCCCCTCTCCCCAAAAATCCGTTGCGATCCTCGTCGTAGGCGTCGGTTTCACGGTCCTCGGCCTCCTCGTCGGCCATCGCCTGGGCGAGCCTTCCCGGGTCGCCGGATTCAGCGGCCTCAGGGAAGGCCTCCTCTTCCCAGGGCGCCGCGTCTCGCCGCGTCCGCGCGAAAGGGTTGGAGAGCTCCTCGTCCTCGTCCTCGTCCTCCTCGTCGTAGAAGCTGGGCACCGTCGGGACTGGCGTCCTGAGCCTCGCATTGTTCTCCAGCAGCACATCCAGAGCTTCGTCAACGATGCCAGCGTCCAGCGTGCGCCCCTCCTTCGTGCGCTTTCCCTCCCGGGCAGCTTTGCGCAGCCGCGCGGCCAGCTGAAGGGCGTGCCGGGTGGTCGGCGCCTGCTTTAAGAGCCTGTAGACCTCCGTGACATTCAGCGTCTCTGTGACAGCTCCTGCCTGGAGCCAGACGCGAGCTCGACGACGGTTCCTCCTGTCACAAGAGTGCAGCTGCTTCTTACCTGAACGCCGGTCCTACTCCGATACTTCTGAGAAGACATCTTGAGGGACCCTGGACGCCACTCCCGAAACCACTCCAGGATGGCACAAAAAAATGTCCAAAAACATCATGAGACTGTCAGCCGATCCGGACGAGCCTCGACCATCTTGGCCACACATGGCAGGCGAGAGCCAAGGGGGCCAAAGCAGCCGAGGAAGAGGCGCAGGAAGCGCCGAAGGCTTGCTTGCCCACATTCGGCACTTGCCAAAATGGCGCGGATGGTGCCCCTGTGGTGGGGCGCCTTGCAGACAGACAATGGCGTAGCTGCAGCGGCGGAAGGTCAACCAGTGGCGCAGACAAGGCCATGGCAAGCACCCGGCACAGGCAAGAGAAGGGGTGTGAAGGGATGTCCTTCTGAGTGAAGTGTTGCGGCGTGCGCGTGGAAAGCCAAACTCGAGGACGCCACGTGCCACTTCAAACCGTCAATCAGCCACTCAGGTCCGAACACCCCAGTCCTCATCTTTCAGCCGACCTTTGACAGCTTCATCCACCTCCAGGTGGTACGTAGAACATGCACGAAGGCACCATGACCAAATGATGCAAGAACTTCCATCTTCATTCACAGCCTGCAAATCCAGTGCGGTCCCTCGGGTTGCCTCAAGAAGAGCACAGCTTTCAACTAGAAACTATGCTTTTCAGCTTTGTTCAACCTTCTCAAATCAGGCGGTCGAGGAGGCGGCATGCCCGTACTTGCCTGTAATGTCTGCCAGCGTGCTCAACGCGGCGATCCTTGTCCACTCCTTAGGCCAACGCGAGCAAGCCTGGAAAGAAAACGAAGCTCAGTTCGTGCTCAGCTCTTGCTCAGCGGCGCAAGTGCTGGAGACGCGCTCCAACGTTGCTTTGACCTTGCCAGCACGGACGCGCAGGCGCTCCGTGCAGGGGCTGTCCATGCTGTTCTTGGGGTGCAAGCACTCTTTGCAGCACGCTTACAGGGCTGTGGGGTTTTCGGGTTGTGAGTCTTCACGGTCTTTGCATGTCTTTGCCTGCTTTTGCCCCGTCGCTGTCAAGAGAATCTGGAGTTCTCAGGCCGGTACGGTGCGCTCATCGCCAATGTCGGCTACTTTGGACATGGCGCCCTGCGCAGCGAGCTGCACGGCGACATCTTCGTCACCGAGAGCCTCCCGAGGCTCCATCAACAAATCCGATCCGGTCAGGTTTCCAAGAGGTACTGTCTCCAGATCATGGTCCCTTCGTGGAGTTCCTCTGACGTGCCACACGTGCAACAAGGCCTTGGCTAGGGCCGCGATGGCTTCAGGGTCGTCCGGGTATCTGCCAAGGTCTTTCACCGCCTGGAGCGAGACAGAGCAAGGTTCAACAAGCCAGGGCAACTAGGGTCCCTCTGATAAATACCGTTGAGAGTGGGATGCCAAAACAGGGAACACATCCAGGTTTGAACAAACCCCCTCGCCATCCCCACCAATTGTTCCCTTGGCGTCAGCCCCACGCCTTGCGGCGCACCGGCACATCATGGTGCGCCGTGTCCCTCAGCAGCTCCTCCTTCGCAGAAAGGGAGAGACAGGAGAAGCAAGGGCCCAGCAAAAAGCGGGCCTTGGGCCGGAGGGGCCGCCGCTTCTTTGCCTCGGCCGCATAGGCCCGGCCTCTGTTGATGGGTGTCTCAGTCGATTTAGGGGCAAAGGTTTACAGAGTTTCAGGGGTTCGCACTGTGGTCGAAAGGTGCAGGTCGGGTTTCGCAACGTAGGGGCTCAGGTTTGGGGCTGTATTTCAGGGCTTTGGGCTCACGTGAGCTGGAGAAACCGCGCGGAAAGCAATGCAATGATATGCAATGATGGCATCTGACTTGTTCAATGCTCGTCTCTGCCGCACCTCGCTGGCACGGCGCCAGGTCCCAGCTCCTCCGAGGCGGCAAGGTTGCCGGGAGAGTGAGAAAAATCCGCGAGGCTCCCCACACCTCGTCTGTGCCCTTGCAAGGCCGACCTCCCCAAGTCTCCAGATGCCGACATTCCGCAAGGCATGCTCCAACCATCAGACAGAAGAACTTAGGAAGGCATAAACATGGCTTCTGAGAGTTCGCACGGAGCGGTTGCTGCTGACCCAGTTGGCCCAGCTGGCCCTCCGCACCTGCTTCTTGCAAATATCTTGCAATATTTTGCAATGCTACTTCTGTCTCCTGCCTTTCTCTCTCTCTATCTGACTGTTGAACCCTCTGCGCTGTCAAAAAACTCCCTTCTCTAAGGCAACTGCCGCAGCACGGATGGCTGGAGCACCACAGCTCCGGCCCCACATGGTAAGGGAAAATCTGACCCAGGGACTGTGGGTTGAGGGTCCTCTGCTAACCGTTGCTGGCCTAAACTCGGTTCTTGCGATGCAGTGGTCTGACTGCATTTTTTAGCACGGCATGTATGCTCGCATCGAACCAAAAGGCCACAGATTGAAGAAAGATAGAAAGATGAAGAAAGCCCGAGGCTGAAGAAACACGAGACTCTGGGGGACTCGTATCTCGGTGCAACGACAGCTTTCTGTTTGGCGGGATCGGTCGTGGCCTTTTTGCCTGCTATGTACACCACTGCGCATGCTCACACAGACCACTTTGTGACGCATCCGGTACCCCTTCGATCTTCTTCGTGCAATGCTCCAGATGTTCAGAGCTATTTGAGAAAGTGGTCAGCATGCTACAGCACAGTGCCGGAAAGCTCGGAGGCCGGTTCTTCTGGCCTCCCGCAGCCATCAGGAGAAGACGGCCTCAGCAAGAGATCAGGCGGCCCTCACAGCTGCCCCAATTTGTTGCCGAATCTTGCTTGCGTGGCAGCATGTGAGCTAGATTCTCATTGAGTCCATATAGACTCATATAGACTGCAGCCAAGCGGCATGGGGCCTGAGGTTCACGGTTTTTGTGTCACCCCGCCGGAACATCAAGAAGCAGGCATGGTGCCCCTCCGAGTCCACAATGTCCTGAATGTCCTTCTGGGGCTTGCAGCGCACGGCTGCATCGTCCAGCACATGCCAGCTGCCGCGGCGGAGTGGGCCCTCTTGGCCCTCTTGGCCCTCTTGGCCCTCTTGGCCCTCTGCTTCGGCTTCGCCTTCGCAATGCAGGGCCAGGGCTTTGTAGGCGCCGCCTTCCGGGACTTCGCCGTAGTGGCAGATGGCGCTCCGCAGCTGGTAGCTGACCGATCGCAAGGTGTAGCCGGTGGCTTCCTCCAGCTCCATCTCCAACTGGATCCGACCTGGCCAGGCTCATACAAGGCAGCATCATTATCATTGGAGTCTCCTCGTCGCGCCCTCCTGTCTGCCTTCTGCCTCTCCGTCACTTCATGTCACTTCTCTTCTTCTGTTCTCTTGAGTCTGTCCCTGACTCCTCCCCATATTCCTTGAGGTTCTGGAGTTGCTGGGGCAATGCTGAGGCAGCTGGGCACCCGGCACTTGCGGCTGACTCGGTCTGGCAGGCCGTCGCTTCCAGTGCGGAAGCGGTTGAGCTGCACCAGCAGAAAGGGCGGCAGCCGCAGAAACCGGGCCTCCTGGCGTGCCAGAAGCTGCTCCACCGCGCCCTCCACAGAGATCGGCACCTTGGGGTCCATGAAGGGGTCTGCAAGGTCCAGGTGCAGCAGGAGGAACGGCGCCACGTCTGTGTGAGCGTTGTGAGCATGCGCGTGCCCATCGCCCAAGCTGCTCACGCGCCTCCCTTGAGATGTTTTGCGGACAAGGCCCCCGAAGATCCGCATCATCGGAGAGTCCTCGTGCTGGTAAGGCACCGCTGACAGGGTCGGCCATTTGCATTCGTCGTGAAGCCTCAGCGGGTGCGACATGGCGCAACAGATGCGGCAGGTGGCATGGCCTCGTGCCGTAGCATGATTTGCACGCACCTCGGACACAAATTCCACCCTCCACTCGACTCCACTCCACTCTACTCCACTCCACTCCACTGGACTCCACTCGAATCGCAAGCAGTTTTGTCGGCCTTGTAGGAACGGCAACAGAAGAATCGGACAAGAGTTGAATGACTCCACCTTGACACACACACACACACACATACACACCATCGCGCGCACAAGCACACAAGCACACAAGCACACGCGCACACACGCACACACGCGAACGTGCACACGCACGCACGCACACACGCACACGCACGTTCTAAGCGGTCTGTCAGCTGACCTCAGTTGAACAACTGAGGAAGCCGCTCGCCAAGGAAAAAACGCAGGAAGCAGGAGAACATGTCGGGGCCAAGGAGGCCTGGGACCCTCGGGAAGACTGGCGCCTCTTGAACCGACTTGCCCCGCTCGAATCGTCTCAGCAAAGGCTCAGCAAAGAAGGCGGCGTCGATGGCAACTGGTGGCCGGTTGCCCAGCACCGGCTGCACCATTTCCAGCCTACGCTCAGGATGCTCAGGGCTCGGGCTCCAGATACTTCCGTAGAACTCCCATGCAAGCTGCATCAAGCAGTTGTAGGCTGGCCGTGGCTGCTGGTTCTGCCGAGACACCTGCGCACAATCTGCCCAGTGCACATCGTGGAACCACTAGGGTAACATCGTCACCACTATCATGCACGATCATGGCCCTACAGAGTCCTACAGAGTCTCCCCTTTTTTGAGAAGCAGGCTCCTGCGCCAGAAGATGCACCAGAGGCGAACATGCCAGCAGTGCCTGTACCCAGGCATTGAGGAAGGGGATCGAGTGGCAGGGCAGCAAGCCCCGAAGCCGCACGGGCAGCAGCTCGGAGCTTAGGTCCAGGCACAGCAGCCTCGGCTCCCGACCCCCGCGACGTGGGGCCACCCGCTCGGCGTGCTTTAACAGCAGCTCCAGCAAGTCGGGTGCCTCTCCGTCACCGTCTGAGATGTCTTCGCTGGACCACTCGCTGTCCTCCTCCCGCTCTTCTCCCCGGGCCTGTGTGCACAATCGAAAGCATTTGAACATGAGGTACGAGATCTACAGTCACCCAAGATTCATAAGGAACCCTATAACAGAAATACGAACCCTCGACGTACATCATTACTGGCTGCTAGGGGCATGCTCCACGTGTAGTTGCCCACCTCGCGCAGGGACATGAGCCGGCGCATCAGCCCAGACTGCGTGGCCGCGGCGGCCGCCCCAGCGAAGAAGGTGCCACCTAGGCCCGTCGAAAGGCCGGTGGATGGGGAGGAATAGCCCGACCGGCGCTGGTTCGGGGAGGCCACCCCGGAGGGAAGCCCGGAGGGGAAACCTGGGATGGGTGAGCAGTAGCCACTGAAGGAGGTGGGAGATCGGGCAGGAGAGTGATGGCTGGGTGTGTGGATGTTGGGCGTCCTGGAGATGGCAAAGGGACTGGTGTGCCACATGAACCCCAAGCTTGGCGGCGCGGGCTCCGCGGAGGCTTTGCTGCTTCGCCGGCGGAGCGGCGCACGCAGGACCAGCGGAGTCACCGCAACCTCCTCGAAGGTGTCCTGCACCGTGCTCGATGAGGGCACCTGGAGAGACGCCTGTTCCGCCATGTTGCGAAGCGCACAGTCAATGCTAGCTGCACTGGGTAAGGACCCAGGCCTGTAGATGCCGTGGTAGTCATCCCAGGCATGGGAATCTGGCCGGTAACCGCCTGGGGTGTGGCTGTGAGAATGTGCCGATCGGGGAGAGTTGGACTGCGTGATGTCGCCCGGTGTGGAGGGTGCCAGCACGAAGCGCATGGCCTCGCCGTCAAAGAAGGAGTCGCAAGACGAGGCCCGGCTCAGCGCCCGGCTACGTGGCATCGAGCCGGCTGATGCTTCCTGTGCTTGGCAGCCCGTGCCAGCAGTACCGGGATGTCTGTTTGGACCCGTCGGAGACGGTGATGCCGATGGAAGCCAGGGCAGCGAGGGCAACCGCTGCGGCACGGTCTGCTCGTGTAGAGTTCCTCAGCAACAATGAGTTACACAAGCAAATTGCATATGTAGATAATGCCAATGCACATGATACATATAGATCCCACGACATGTCAAGATGAGGAAAATGAGATCCCTGATTCAGTCTTATCAGTCCCAGAGAGCCCGAGGAGCTCTGAAGCCTCCGCTCCGCGCTGCGCACGTCGTCCACCAGCCCCAAGGCCCGGGCCTCGGCGAGCAGGGCCACCGTTTGGTCCATGCTCTGGCCCAAGGACCGCCGCACCACGTGCGCCGCATCCGCCAGGCCGTCCTCGTCTCCGGCAGGGTCGTTCCCTCGGGCCCGGAAGATGGGCGGGCAGCGCTGCTCCGCCTCGCCGTGCGTGAAGGCACAAAGGTTCCGAAGTGGACAGGCCTCTCGGGAGTTTCCGCCGAAGGGGCACGGCTCGGCGCGGGCAAGCTGCACACCGGGCGGGTGCTGATGCTGGCACCGGGCTCCCTCGAAGCAGATGCCCATCTTCGCCAGCTGCGGACACCGCTCAGAGCGCGCGCCCTTCTCCCCCACAGACGGAATGGTGCTGCGGCCGCGCGGTTCGCTGATCTCCACCACACCTCAGAAATGGTTCGTAAACCGAGGCTCTGGGTGCTGATGGGTGCTGATGGGTGCTGATGGGTGCTGATAAGTGCTGGGACCTTGGGCTTTCAAGTCGTAGCGGGATGAGTCACCAAAGCTCAGTGCTCTTTTGGGTCTGGGTCCGCTGCTACTTCAACGCACATCTCCGCACATGCAGCATGCTTCGAGGTGAGGTTGTTTTTGGCTTTGGTGGTCAACTTCGATCTCTGTGTGCGAGCCCTCCTTTCATGTCATCACTGCCTGCGGAAAAGGATCTGAGAAATATTTGCTAAGAAGCCCTATGTCTGTGCCTGGAACAGAGGGGGTCTTTTGACTTGCGCACGGCACCTGAGGCCCTCAACTCCAGCCCTCGGATCTCCGATTGATTTGCCGTGGCTCGGTCGTCCGTGGAGACCTTCCGCACGAAAGTCTTCCACTGCATGGAAGGTGGAGAGCTCCAGGACTCAGGGGCTGCCCCCAGAGGTTCCTTGGACATTTGCGGCCCCCACTACTTTGGCGCCTACGGGGGCACGCTGGAGCTTCCGAACGGAAGTCTTTGTTGGGCACGCTTGTTCTTGTTGCCCTTGCGTTATTTTGGTCTTAGGGTTGAAAGGCCTGGGTCGAGGGATATACTCAGGAACGAAGGAAGAACGCCTCCCATGCACTCGCCCCCTATCGACTGACAACGTACTTTGAGTGCGGCGTCCGCAAAGGTGACACTAAAATTTCCAGCGTTCTACGATTCGACGAAGAGGGTGCAGCGGCTGCAGCTAGGGCGTTTGGCAACTGGCCAACAACAGTAGAGGGTTCAGCGGAGCAAGCCCCAAAAGCGTGGGGAGTTGGGGGGCGAGGGCCTCCCCCGTTTGCAGGCACGATTCTTGTATGACGGCTTTTTGACTTCCGAAGTAGCCCCTTTCGATGGCATCAGGCTCTTTCATGGCAAGCTTTGCAAGGACAAAACACGGCAACCCCAACGGCACAGCGGGTTGGGAAAAAGGGGAGGGGGTTGGCAGCCCCACTTGCAAGCACAATTCTACCATGATGAGTTCTAACAAGGTTCAGGCTCCTTTCGACGGCATCAAGCTCTTTCATGGCAAGCTTTGCACGGGCAAAGAACAAAGACAAGGGGGGCTGGGGCGGGCGCAGCATCCCCCCCATTTGCAAGCACAATTCTCGTAGGAAGGCCTGCTTAGGCCTGCTTTTTGTCGGGGTTTCTGATCGCGCACAGCCTTTGGTGATACTTCTGGATCCGCAACCCCCTCCTCCCATTTGCAAACACAGTGCTCGTATGATGGGGTTGGACAAGATGCAGGTCTTGCTCCTGGCATCAAAAGAAGCGGAGAGGTTGGTGGAGCGCAGGCCCCCTCCCCCCGACCCCCCCCCCCACCTTTGCAAACACAATGCCGCCAAGGATGAACAAACACAACAATGCTCAAACGTGAGTCCCCTAAAATGCAGCACAAAGCTTTGTCTGGCACCCACTCCTCCTGAGGGTGGGGCAGCGCGAAAACAAACACACAAACGGACACCGGCTGCAGACTATAGACTCGCAACCCTATGCTCTCGTATGACTGGAGTGGACAGGTTTTGAAGCAGCTCCATTCGATGGAAGCTTAGAAAGGTTTTGGAGCAGCTCCATTCGATGGCATCCCGAACCGACCGAGCGACTGACTGACGGGTCTGGCTGGTCGACGGACAAGCCAGCATGAAAACCAAACACCCCTTCTGAACTCAGGTCCTATTCTAAGTGTACGAATTCATGTGCTTTCCTTTGCTCTCTGGGGCTTACATAAACGAGCCTGCTCTAATCAGAGTCGGTTCGATTCCTCAAAATCTCCGCCCAGTGGCTGGTGAGGGCGAGTGTGTCCCTGTGGCCTCCGACGTCTCCTGGCATGCGCCAGGATTCGGAAAGTTACCAAAAGAGTTGCCAAGATGCAGAATCTTGCAGCCTGGTCGGTGTACACGAAGTTTCGCTTGGGGCTCCCAGAAGAGGATGAAAGCATCGTGAACTTGGGCCTTGGCATTCCCCCCCTTTCCCCGACTCTCCCCCATCATCTCCATGTTTGACAAGCCTGGCCTCATGCTGCTGGGGCTGCTCCCCGGGCTGCATCCTCAAAGCACCGCGGCACGTGGCAGCGTGGCAGTGGCGTATTGTCATGCCATATGTCATGCCATGTGTCATGCCACAAGTCATGCCATTGTGATGATGTTGAGCAGCATAACATGCTTCGCACCAGCACAAAAGTTCGCGAAAAAAGTTCCGACTCGTCCCCAGCCTGGACTCAGCGACTTGTCCTTGTTGGACTGCTCAATGCACTTCTCCAGACCCACCTGACCCACTGCCGGCGCAGGCTCAGCACTGGCAGCTTCGCACGGCGCAGCATCTGCCACCTGCACGGCCGGCGGTCGGAAACTCTCTCGTGCCCCTTCTCCCAGCTTTTTCCCTGTTCCCATCTCACACGACGATGGACTACGATTAGACTACGATTAGACTCATGATCAGGAAGGCATAGCTGGGCCTTCGTCCCCTCATCCTCCGAGTCTGTCTCGTCGGCCCATCTCTTCCTCAGAGCTTTGATGATACCCCACAGCTGGACGTCCTCGGCATCCTCGGCATCCTCGGCATCCTCGGCATCCTCTTCCTCCAAGTCCGGCTGGCTGTGCTCGCCGTGCTCTCTGTGCTCACCTCGGTGCTCGCTGTGCTCGCTGTCGCTCTCTGAGACTTCCTCCGGTTCGCGACCTCCCTCGCTTTGGTGAGGGCCTTTGCGTGGCCCCTTCTCCGGCTCCCACTGCAAGAGGGGCACCTTGGGCCCAGGCGATGCCCACTGCACAGCGAGAGGAGTAGTGCCAGTGGCGAAGTTCCAGGGCCCAAAGTGCCGAGTCTTTACGTCCACGAAGCGGGGCACCCCGAAGAAGTCTAAGGCCGCCAGGAAATCCAGAGGGATAGGTCCAGCCGGACGGGGCACCCCCTCCCTAAACCCAAAGCAGACGCTCGTCCACAACTCCGCCTGCGCCCCACAACGCGCCCCGTGGAGCAGCAAAAGCTCACGCGGCCGATGCCTCGCAAGCTTCCCCCGAAGCACGCCAGAAGAACTCGAAGAACTCGAAGAACTCTCTTCGGAAGGGTCGGCCGCGAAGCCTCGGCAAAGCGCCTGGGCCGTGAGCTTTGAGACAGGCCTCAGGTGGAAGATCACCAAAGACAGCGGCAATCCCAAGGAGCCCGACGCTTCACCCTGGCCCGGATCGTCGCCTGGCTTTTCGCCCGGCTCTTCGCCTGGCTCTTCGCCCAGCTCGCCGCCTGGCTCTCCATGCTCACACTCGAGCTCCAGGTCATGAAGGGCCATCGAATGATATTTGCAGGGCTTCGCGGCCACCAAATCTACCTGGAGATCGGAGCCGCTTGCCTCCCTCAAGGCCTTTGCCAAGGTTCGCCAGAAGGGCAACAGGATCCTGTCCTTCTCACTTTTACCCTGGCTTTTACCCTTCGTAGAGCTCCCTTTTGCTTTCTGGTTCTCCCCTATCTCGGTGTGCAGGAACAGGCACCCAAGCCTCGGCACAGGAGCACAGGAACCACTAGTAACCACTGCACTCGTAGGTCTTCAGGGTAGGAATGTGATCTGCACATGTGCATAGCACAACCGTCGGCTACACCGAGACCACCTTGGAGCAGCCATTGCCTAGTGACATGCATCTTGCACCACCACGAGTGACGAAACAGTAACAGGAACCATCATGCAAGCAACTATGCTTCAGTTGGGAACTTTGGAACAGAGGCGAAGTAACGGGCCACCACAGACATCCACAGACCCACAAAACCCCACACAAAATCAGCTGCGCTCCGAGGCAAGGCTCATGGGCTGTGCTTTCTCCGGCTCCGGCTCCATCCAGGCCTCGGCCGCCGGCAGGTCCGAGGAAGCGCGGCCGCAGGCGGCCTCGGAGCAACTGAGCGCACAAGGCGCTTCGCCGCGTGGCATAGCCCTAAGGTCTCCGAATGTTGCCTATGCGGCCAGGCATCTTTTTCCAGGTCCACGGCTGCTCCGAAGATCCTCGGACACCTCGGAAAGAGCCGGGAAGAGCCAAGACAAGCCAATAGGGAAGTTCTGAATGAAAGAGAGATGCGGGACTCTCGTGCACCCCACCCTCTGCTCTACTCTCTCCTTACTTCTTGCATGGGAGGCCGAGGGGCGCCCGTAGTGGAAGCTCCAGGCGGAGGCTCTCGAGAGCCAAAGCTTCCGCTCCCACAGCTCCCACAGCTCCCACAGCTCCCACAGCTCCTTCCTTCGCGAAGCTCACCAGGGATCCCGGGCCGGGGCCCAGAAACCCTGCCAAGGCCTTCTCGCCGCTTTCGCCGTTTTGTTCGCCGCTTCTTTGGAAGCTCTCGAAGCTGTCGAGGCGCCGGAGAAGCGGCGAGAGTTGCCGCAGGAGGCTTTGGCCGGTCTCTGCAAGGAGGACGCCCAAGACATGGTGCTCCAAGGTGTCTTTCGAGAAGAATCTGCAGAGCAAAGGCACCAGCTCTGGGAGGTCCATACTTGGCTCCCAGCTCAGCATCGAGGTCAAGGCATTCGAGGCATTCGAGGCATTCGAGGGGCCTCCATCGGACTGAAACATCAGCAGCACGGTCGGAGTGATGGGCATTCCGTGCACCACTGCCAGTGGTAGAAGCGAGGACACCGGGCTTCGAACCGGCAATAGCCATGAGGAGCCTGCACGGCGTCCGACCGTTCGAGATGGCGTGCATTTAAGCCATTTTAAGCCCCTGCTATCCGACAAGACCCAGCCTGTGTCCGGAATTTGCAGCAGCAGCTGGCGCTCCTGAATTCATCATGATTCATCCATGTTTTGAAGCTGGCAGTGCCGGATCTTGTACTAGGCTTACATCGACTATGTCGGCTAATTGCTGTGCTTTGGGAGTACTCATTCACTTAAGTTTCGGTACCTTAGGCTCCCAACAGGATCCCCTGGCACTCGCTCCGCGGGGATCCGCATCTGCTGGTGGATCTGCTGCTTGAGGTCTTCGAGAGACGCGGCCATGGGAAGCGTCAGCTCGGCAGACGCTGGCACCTCAGCACCGCCAGCGAAAGAGCCCCGGGTCATCTGAAGCGACTTCTCCGTGACGACGCGCACCGTCAGAGTCGCAGTGAGGTCGGAGCGCCAGCCGGCGATGGCAGGAAGCCGGGTCAGGTGAGGCAGCTTCACATGGCCGCGGGGGGCCAGCGTGCTGTAGACGGCCAGTTGCGGCGTGAGGTCTCGCGTGCACAGCCACGCGTTCGGCACGGATCCGAGCGGCCAGCGCCGGATCTCGTGCATCTGAGCGTTGCCATCCACAAGCCACTCCTTCCCTCCGCCTCCGTGCAGGAACGTGACGGCTCGACATCTTGAAGGCGCCTTTGGGGCCTTCATGGCCTTCGCATCCTTTGCTGGAATGCATGCAGGCTTCTCAGTCCTGGTGGAACTGCACACGAGAGCCACCAAATGCCAGGTCTGTCCGTGGTCTTCTTTGAAGGAATGCGGGAATGCGAGAATCTCATCCTGAAGCAGGCACTTTGAGAATCGGAGTGTCACCAGGGGCTCAAGCGGACCAGGGTCTGAAGACGGCGAGCATAGCGAACCCTGTGAACCCAGCCTCTGGGGTCTCTCAGGGGTCTTTGACTTCTTCGACCTCGACTTCGGCTTCGGCGACTTTGGGTTCAGCCGGGCGCGCCAGGCCCGGTAGGCGCGGAAGATTTCTGGGACCGCTCCCCAACCATTCTCGGGAACGTACAAAAGACTCCCCGGGATCTTCAGAATCGGCTCTTCACAGACTTCACAGATCTCTTCATCTCTGCTGGCAAATTGAAGGTCCCAGGATCGCACCGCCCCCAAGGACACCACATCCAGGCCTTCCGCAAACCAGCCTGCAAGGGCCTTGGCCCGCCCTTTGTTGGGCTCCTCGCTGTCCAAGGCCTCCCAGGGCGGTGCCTTCCAAAACGGCTCGGCTGTGGCGGCTGTGGCGGAGGAAGCAAAGGCGGTCAGCCAAGAATCCCCGACGGGCACGTCCCAGCGGCTGCTCAGATATCTCCGGGCCTCCAAAAAGTCCATCCTGAGCTTCTTCGAGGCAAGGAGAGACGCATAGCGAAGTGCAAAGCTCGTCAGGAGATTCTGCAGCTGAAGAAACACAAGGAACAAGCCACCTTTTCTAAGCCGAGTCTCTTGAAGAGGCTCGCCACGACCTCTATAGCGACGGCCGCACAGAGCTCGACTTCGTCAGAGTGCGGCAGGAGCACCAGGCTCCGGCTCTCGTGGCTCTCCTTTAGAAGGGAGCAAAGGAAGCCTTCCGTGGCCCCGGCAATGCCCGGAAAGCCAGAGAGCTCCGAAAGCGAAAGCTCCGAAAGCTCCGAAGGCAAAGCCTCCGAAGGCTCCAGGGTCAGCTCCTCAGGAGAGCAAAGGAGAGAAGAGCAGAAGAAGAGCAGAAGAAGAGCAGAAGAAACCCCAAAAGAAGGCTTTTGCCTTGCTTCAATGTGCGAAGCACGTGATGCCCCCTTGTTCTGTCCTCGGATTCTGCTCGGAGCTCCCGGAGCTCGACCCCAAAGAGCTCCGAAGCGTCGGAGCCTGCTTGCAAAGTTTGGTCACCTGGGCGCCAGGGACTCTGTCACGGTATTCGATGTGATGGTCCCAAGTCCCAAACATCAGCCGGACCCCCAAAAGGAAGAGGCCGTGACAAAAAAATGAGGGGGTTGGCATGCGCTGGCCTTCTGGCCGTTCCAGCTTCTCCAGCACCAGCGCGTAGCGCACACCCAGCCGCCAGAGCCGCTGCAGGGGAGGCTGAAAAGAGCCTGCGACGAAGAGCCCAGGCACCACCTCCTGCACCGAATCCGAAGATGTCGGCGCCGGCACCGGCGGCACTGCCGGCGGCAGCAGCCCTGGTCGGAGCACGAAGGGATCCAGCACAAAGCCCTCCGAGCCAGTGCGAGAGCCGGGGCAAAGCACTTTGTCCTCACGATGTCAGAGAGCACCGACTCACACAAATTCAGCTTCAGCTTTTCAAGCAGGCTTCACAGTGCGGTTTTTCAAAGCTCAGGGCAGTGCACCCGCTCCTGCATAGTAGGATCTCGAAGGATGGGGTGCTGGACACTGCAAGTGGCACCTGCCTCTTTCATGGCCTTTCCCAAGAAGCACCATGACCAGAGTAGGGCCTCGGGTGCGCCATGAAAACGCAGAAAAACCCTGCCAGAATTTGTTCAACAACTAAACATAGCTTGTCACGAAAGGAAAAACCAAAAAGGAAGAGCAAGATCCACCGGTGATCCGACAGCGCCGGGCTCTGCACGGCGGTTGCAAGGTCATTCGGGCAGGTCTCCTCAGGGTCAGAGCACACCTTAACGCATCCTCATACTGCACGTGATGCCTCAAAACATGGTGTACGTTGAACATGTTGAACATTATCTCTGCAAAGAGTCTTCCGAGCCTTCCGAGCCTTCCGAGCTGATAACCGCGAACCAATCCCTGGGTTCACTCGGTCCAGTCTCTCGACAGTGCGTGCGCGGTGTTTAACGGTATTGTCGTGCTCAGCAATACGTACTTCATGTGCTCCAACGGATCTACCATCTTGATGCTTTTAAACTGCTTTTTGTATTTGGACAGCATGAGACCCTTTGAGGCTCCTTGCTGACAGTAAAGTGGAACATGACGTCCGCCTTTAGCTTCAACGCGCCGCTGCTGGATATGAAGCGCTCCACATCTGCCAGAGGCACGACAGGGAAGAAGACTTCCTTGGCAAGGGAGAAGTCGCTTCCCACAGACACCCCGCTTGCATGCAACGTACTTGCACCAATGCAGCAGGAATATTAGCACATGAACAAAGCTGACCACTTGCAATCAAGATGCACTCCCACCAGGAGTCACAATCCATCTCACTGTTCGAGACAGGTTTTCAGTCCTGTCACCTAGAAGCGTGATGCGAACATCGATCGGACAGCACCAGTAGCCGACAGGGCCAGCCGTCTCGGTGAAGCGCACTCCAGCACAAAGCCTTTGAAAGCACATCGGAACCCGGCAAAAAGGAAATCCAAAACTCTCAACCCCAACCTCTAAGCCCTCAAGTCTAGAACCTGAATCCTCAAACCTAAACCCGAAACACCCCCAAGCCCTGACAAACCCTGACAAAACCCCGAGAGGAGCGTGCTCGCATCAGCGTGGGCTGGCAAGCCTTTGCTCGCGCACAGCGAGGCTCCGAGCCCAGGCCGCACCTCTCTCTCGGACTCTCAAGTATGATAAAGAAGAGATGAACATATGTATATACAGATATGTAGATATACATACAGGGGCATATGTATATATATATATATGTCTATATATATATGTATATATATATATATATGTATATATGTATATTGTGCACAATATATGTATACATACAAATATCCCCGGCCCCCCAGCAGCTGTCCAGGTTTTTTGGCTTGTGTCGGTCTCTTTCTGTTGTTTGATGGTCCTGCGCTCTCGCTTTTTGTTCATGACGTTTCCATCCCCAGCGTTGGGATTCATATTCTCCATAAGTTCTCATATAGTCTCTGGCGTCGAATACATGGACCGGCACAAACCGGTACAAATCGGTGCAAGTTGTACCGGCTCATGTCTCCATGATCCAAGATCCAAGATGATGGGGAGGTGTTCCGGACGAACCTGGAAACACGAGCGCGGCTCATGTTTCCAAGATTTACCTGGAAATCCTACCTGCAATCTTGGATCCTGGATCTTGGAAACATGGGCAGGCATAACTTGCACTGTACCGGTTCATGCCGATTCGTACCGGCCCATGTCTCGAAGTTTCGAAGAGCCGGGGTCTGAAACCTATTTATGTTGAAGGACAGCTATTGGACAACCCATGTGCCAGTTGAGCTTCGATGTTGTTGCTATCGCACTTCGATGACTTTAGTTACTTTTGTTGGCGCATCGTTTGACCCGGTATCCGTCCTTTGTTCTCCTCCAACATTCCCGGCCACTCAAGCAACATGAATTTCAAGATGATTGTTACTGGTAGCCAACTACGTTCATCAAAATGTCCGAAAAATGTGCATTCTTCACTTGGGGTGGGGATTTAGAAACATTCTCCAAGGGCATTGAGAGAGACAGAGAGAAGAAGCAGATGCCTGACCCCCTGACCCCCTTGTTTTGAGGCAAGCTTGTCTTTCGTTACTCTTTCTCTGTTTATTGCTTTCTTTCTTTCACCCTGATGTTATTTCTTTTCTTTCTTTCTGGCGTTATCTATTTATTGCTTTCGTTCTTTCTGTCCTTCGTTCCTTCTTTCTTTCTCTCTATCGTTCTTTCAGGCCTTTCTTTATGTATTTCTTTCTTTATTTCGTTCTTTCTTTCGTTCTTTCTGTCTTTCTGTATTCTTTCTTTATTTCTTTCTTTCTTTCGTTCTTTCTTTCGTTATTTTTGTATTTCTTTAGTTCTTCATTTCTTTATTTCTTGATTTCTTTATTTCTGTATTTCTGTATTTCTGTATTTCTGTATTTCTTTATTTCTGTATTTCTTTATTTCTTGATTTCTTTATTTCTTTATTTCTTTATTTCTTCATTTCTTTATTTCTTTATTTCTCTATTTCTTTATTTCTTTATTTCTTTATTTCTTTATTTCTTTATTTCTTTATTTCTTTATTTCTTTATTTCTGTATTTCTTTATTTCTTTATTTCTTTATTTCTTTATTTCTTTATTTCTTTATTTCTTTATTTCTTTATTTCTTTATTTCTTTCTTTCTTGATTTCTTGATTTCTTTCTTTCTGTCATTCTTTATTTCCGTATTTCTTTCTCTCTTTCTTTTTTTCTTTCTTTCTTTCTTCCCTGTCGTTCGTTCCTTCGTTCTTTCGAGATGTCTTGCACTCGTTCTTTCTTTCCTGCTTTCTTTCTTTCTGCCTTTCTTTCTTTCTGTCCCTTCTTGCTTCCCTTCAAGTGTAATGACGATTAAGCGAAAACAGACGTTTCCTTTTGAAACATAGAGAAAATGGAGCTTTTCCTGCCAAAACATAGAGAAAACAACGGGCGGGGAATATAGGAGTTTTCCAGCTGAATTCAATGAATACGATGAACCACTCGAGACAACCTGGCATGGCCTTCCCCTTCCATGTCTTTCTGGGGCGCCCGTTAAACGAGCTCATTGGCTAGCAGCCACAGAAAGCGTGGACAACCGAGGCTGGGTAGCCATACATGCAAAGGTGCAAAAATTATGTATATGTACATCCCACGCACAATATATATAAGAAACTATATATACATATCTATCTACACACATGATTTGGTACACAGCCCTACTGTAATCCGGCTTCGGTGCCTGTCACGCAGCTCCACGGGACGAGAGTTTGAGTTTCATGTGAGCCCTGCCTCCTTCTGCTCGCTTCCCTTTGCAAGAGCCCCTCCGCACAGAAGGGTCCGCAGTGGCTGCTTGCGCCACTTCTCGATTCGCACCTTGATGGATGTAGCACAACAGTTGAAGGGGGAACCGAAACAAAATCAACACAAACGCGACAACGGCAAAGCACGGACCCTTCACGATCCGCCACCCCCTCCGCAAACAAAACAAGACTGAGTGGGGACGAGGGGCAGGACCCAAGCTAACGGATGCTTCGGCAGCGTTGTCCGGCCCAAACCACGTCGCCATGGCTCGAGGCTCGTGCGTCTCATGTTCTGGGTGAGGCTCTGCACGGCGGTGTCATATCTAGCTTTGCTCACTTTCACTGACCTTCACTCTGCTGTCAGGGTAGCTCCGAGACTCTTCTTGCAAGCCATCTGTGCAACTTTCTCTCTAGAGAAGCTCTGTCTGAATCCGCTATGTAGCCGATGTTCGTGTGCACTCGGCACGAGTAGACATCTCAAACAAGGCAAATGAACCGACTCTGACTCGACAGATTCATGCGACCTTCCAAGAGGCCTGTGTGTCGCAGGTGGCATTTGACAGGAATGCCAAGCCGAAAAGCGCCGCACACAACGACACACACCCGTTTTGTCACCTCACGTATGCGAAGTGCTGAAGGGCGGATGGGTAGCGGCCACCTGTTTTCGGGCATTTGGCTCTGCCCACGGAAGCTCTTTCGCAACCTCTTCTCCTGCCTGAAACAGCTCCACCAAGGTTGGTCAAGGGCCCCCTGCACGACATCTGCAGAAGATGCAACAGCACTGCCTAACTTCTGCAACACGACAATTTGCCTGATGGTGTTCAGCAAAGGCTGCTGCACAGTCAACGGCTTGTAGCTCACCGTGAAAGTACCTGCAGGCAAGTACGGGAAAATGAAAGATACGGTGAACCCTTGCTGGCGCGGCCTGTGGCCGTGACAGGCATCATCTGCTGCGGCCTGCCGGCGGCAAGGGTCAGACCGCTACTGGAGATGATGCGGCAGCAACACACTGCAGGACAAAGGCACCAGCCTTGTTGTGCTCAGCAAAGACGGCTGCTGGGGAGGCTTGAAGCTCGCCTGAGCACCTGAATCAATCAGCATGGCAGGGCACGCGCTGCGTCATGAAATCATGAACCTCGTGCAGAATCTTTCTCAGACAGCAGCCAGACGTTGACCCGAGAGGCCACGCAGATCCTGGCTGAAAGGAGCATGAAGGTCCGCATTACTCCGCATGCCTCATCTTACTCAAACGTACTCAAACCCTCCAGCCTGCAGCAGGCATCGTCGCTTGCGTTGGCCTGAGTCGCAAGCTAGTGCCCAATTCCGCTGTCGGACCGGCAAGTGTGCTGGCCTCGTGGCACTGTACACAGATTGGTGGACTGTCGGCGGCTTGTAGCTCCCCTGAGCGCCTGGATGAGGGCAGGACATAAGAAATTGCTGACGGCAGCCGGTCTGCACCCGGGAATTCTCGGGAGCTGGCTAGGCACCGATGCCGTCGGCTGGGAGGCTCCTGGCCGCTCAACGAAGCCACTAAGACCCCGAGTACATGACCTTGAGCCTGTATTCAAAGGCTATCAATGGCTTGATCGTGAGGATGCCATTCGAATGGCTCGTGAGGCACCCACATCCTATACGCAACATTGCGAACGAAACGTTATACGCAACCCTATCACCCATGAACCGACTCACCGCATCTGCCACCACTTGCGAAACCAGCGTGTTTAAGTAGACAGGATCCGAAACTAGCCGGAAGCCCCATCGTAGTCTTACGTACGCATATGCCTCACTTTTTCTGCATGTGCGCAGGCCAAATTAGCAGCTTGATTTCGGGAAAAGACCTGCGCAGCAATGCATGCATTAGCGCGGCCTGTGGCCGTGACAGGCATCATCTGCTGCGGCCTGCCGGCGGCAAGGGTCAGACCGCTACTGGAGATGATGCGGCAGCAACACACTGCAGGACAAAGGCACCAGCCTTGTTGTGCTCAGCAAAGACGGCTGCTGGGGAGGCTTGAAGCTCGCCTGAGCACCTGAATCAATCAGCATGGCAGGGCACGCGCTGCGTCATGAAATCATGAACCTCGTGCAGAATCTTTCTCAGACAGCAGCCAGACGTTGACACGAGAGGCCACGCAGATCCTGGCTGAAAGGAGCATGAAGGTCCGCATTACTCCGCATGCCTTATCTTACTCAAACGTACTCAAACCCTCCAGCCTGCAGCAGGCATCGTCGCTTGCGTTGGCCTGAGTCGCAAGCTAGTGCCCAATTCCGCTGTCGGACCGGCAAGTGTGCTGGCCTCGTGGCACTGTACACAGATTGGTGGACTGTCGGCGGCTTGTAGCTCCCCTGAGCGCCTGGATGAGGGCAGGACATAAGAAATTGCTGACGGCAGCCGGCCTGCACCCGGGAATTCTCGGGAGCTGGCTAGGCACCGATGCCGTCGGCTGGGAGGCTCCTGGCCGAGAAGTGCACGTGCAGGATAAAGCAGGACTTCCGGCTACATCTGCCTCCGAAGGTTGGGCTGAAGGGCGCCGACAGAGCTGGGAAGTTGTCCAGATTGGCAAAGGGGTCCAGGCCTGGCAAACCCACCGACGTTTGCGTTTGTGACGTTGGTTGTGTTTGCTGATTCGCTTGTTTCATGAGATCTGTTATGATTTGCCGTTGCTGCTGAAACAGACCAGAGTGGCCACTCTTCAGGGACTCCAGCAATGGGGAAGGAGGCGGAAGGAGACCTGCACTGGTCTTGGGAAGCTATGGGATTTCCACAGACTTCCGGTAACAGGATACAGAAGTACACAACTCGACGTTTCCTCTTTTTCCTGCACTGTTGAGAAGATTGGAAGTCATCTAGCTGCAGACCCAGTGATGCATGTGATGCAGCTCTGGTGCAGTCGCTTCATGCGAGGCCGCGGGGGTGTGGGTCATGAAACGACGATTCCGTGGCGCCGAGTCTGCGGGATGTCGTGGTGCAGGTCGTAGCCGGTGCAGCCTTGTAAGCCTGCATCCTGTTGCCGGCTGTTGCAGCCAGGCTCAGACCGGCAGCGAGCAGGTTGAGGGATCTGGCCAGACTGGGGCCACGCGAGCAGTAGCACTGCTCAATACATGCCCCAGCCAGTAGCTTGTCGGGCTAGTAAGACTCATAGTCCTCTGTGTCGAAGAAGGTTGGAGCGGAGGAAAAGTAGTAGGTCTGCTGGTTTCCGTTCCTGCCTCGCACCAGTTTGTGTGGAACTGCTTCCTCACCACCTTTGCTAGCTCCATTTGGCCGCCGCGATGCCAGGAGTGGGTTGAGGTAGAACGACGTGGTGTCGGCGTGCCCCTGCGGGAGCTCTTTGCGCACCATGCTACGATCCACACCATCTGATCGTGGCGCATCAGGCATCGGCGCATAGGGAATCGGATTGCCCTTCTTCGATGGTGGCGGCGGCGGCCTGGGAATTGGCACGGAATCCTTGCTGAGCATGCGTCCTCTGTCAAAGGACACGCGTAGAACACCCGGGAAGCGAAACTGAAACTGCAGGGTACAACCGAGGCAGGAAACACAGGGCACATCGGAGAGGTGCAAGTTCAAGCTGAGGCCTGGGGGAGAACGTCCACTCCGGAGGATGCTGGTGTCCAAGGCTGCACATAGCGCCTGGACCTCCGCGTCCCCCTCGCGCGTATGCCGAAGTCGGCAGACGAAGAGCCCGTGGCCTGCTGGTGCCCCCGCAACGGGCTCACCACTCTCGAAGAGTCCATCGGCCAAGGAACTTTCCTCACCCAAACTCAGCTGCCAGGCACACTGTGCCCGGTGGAAGAGGGAGCGGCTCACGGGATCCTTCGCCGCCTCCTCCGCACGGAAGTCCAGGATACGTTGCCGGGCATCTGGAATGAAGGGGTCGTTCTTCGGGCACAGGAGGCCGAAGTGCTTGAGAAACTGCAGTGTCCAGTATTCGCCCAAGGTGACGATGTCACTTTGCTCCACACTACGCTGGTATGCCGACACCTGCGCTGCTGTAGGTCGGCCATTTGCGGCCAGCCTTGCAAAGGACTCCAGTCGTTGCAGCGTCTCCTCGAAGCAGCAGGTGAGGCGCCGCTCGATGCTCGTTGACTTAGGTAGCACGTCGAAGAATCTCAGCGCGTCGTGAACATCGAAGAGCGACTGCGGTGGGAACTCCTCCACCCGTCGAAGGGTCTCCTCCAGAAGCGCTGGGAGGAAGCCATGGGCATGCCCAGGGAAGCAGAAGCGTGAGAAGGCAAAGGCCAGCTGTGCCAAATGCAGCGTCTGACAGTCCCGAATTTTCCGGACGGCAGCTTGGGCCGCCTGGTCCAGCCAGCGAGAGCATCGAAAGCCGACCATAGCTGTGGCCCAGGTACTGTTGGCCAGATTCTGCGTGTCGTGGTCTGTGATCCGTTCTATAGAAGCATCAAGCAGGCGCCGGAACAAAGGGTCGTCCTTTAGGGCCAAGGTGGCATAGGCCCACATCATGTTCGAGAGACTCTGCGGGTCCCAGGTGTTCACCTCTGCCCCTCGCCTATCCACCTCCTCCGCGATGGCCCGCAGCATCAAGTTGTCACATAGGTCCATGGTGGCCAGGGCCCAGGAGAAGTTGGAAAGCTCTTGTGGAATGAAGTCCTGGATCTTCCTCGACGCCTCTCGACCGACAGCCAGTACCATGTTGTCGTTGCGGAAGCCCAGCGTGCTGAGCCCCCATACGAAGTTTGACATGTTCTGAGGTGAGAAGTCACTGAAGTCACAGCGAGCTCGGACCACGGCACGCAGCCACTCAGGCTCGCGGCGCTTCATGGTCGCAAAGGCCCAGGTGCAGATCGAGATGTCCAGGGGACAGAAACGCTGGATGTCTTCAATCGCCCGCGAAGTCAGCGCGCGAAGCATGAGGGGCTCTTGCAGCTGCATGCGGGCACACGCCCAAAGTGTGTTCGACACGTGCTGCGGCTCAAACTCATGGATCCGCCGTTGCGTTTGGATGGAGACCATGTCAACCCAGGCGCCGCCCTCGCGGTAGCAGATCACACCGAGCCCGTGCAGCGAGTTGGCGATTTGCCTGCGAAACGTTTGACATCTTTGATATCTGTTGTCAGCAATGGTATCTTCAGCCTGCTGTCTATCACACTGCATTTACATGCAACATCTGTAACATCATGCACAAGCCAGCATGAGGAGCGCTGGCTTGACACCTGACGAATCTTGCCGAGCCGCCGTGAGCCAAAGAATGGCAGCCGTGATCTGAAGCGGTCCAGCAGCAGGTGGAAGCGGGGATCTTTGAAGACCTGCGGAGTCACCGGCACTTTGCCCAGCCGGTGAAGCGCCGTGGAGATGACGATGGCACCCTCCAACTCCCGAACTGTCGCGAGGATGCATTCCACGTTCTCTGCACTCACGATGAGCTCCTGCAGCTCCTTCTGCCGATTCCGCGGATCTTCCTCACCCTTGCTCACAGCAGGGGGCAAAGACCGTGCGCGTGCAGCACTGGATCGGCGGGGCTCGCAGAAGCGAGGCGCCGCACCCAACCACTCGCACATGGGAGCATGAGCAGGTCTCTACCATTCTGCGCAGGCCCCGAGCTTGCGCTCAAGGTACGACTCCCACCACTGCATGTTAATTGATGCTGCTGCTACTGTCGCTCTGAAGGCCGGGTTCTGAAACAAACTTCTTTGACACTCTAAATGTGTTTTAAATGTATTTGGAGTTCCGGACTGATCTGGCTTTTGAATAGAAATGCCACTCAAAGAATGTTCCAAGGCTGTCAAGGGGTGCCAAGCACAAGCACATCTGCGGAATGCAGCCTACGCCACCTGCCTGGCCCCCTTCGCACGGTGTCCAGCCACACATCACAAGCCACAGAGCCAGTTGACACTGTAGAGAGGCCTGGAGAGGTAGGCTGTTGGGCTGTTGGGATGCTTTAAAGGGTGAGAGTTCACCAAGGTCACGACCCTTCATGTGGCTCCAGCGTGGCCCCTCAAAGGGCTCCAAGGACTCGAAGGGGCTGCCTGAAAAAAGGTCTCCCACATCAGCGACGCACTGAGAGAACTTTTGCACATGTATGTCTCACTGCTCCAGTGGCCTCTCTTCTCGTCGGCTGCGCTCTTGTGCCGCAGGCTCTCAAGGAGGGTGGGGCCTGTGCTCTGATTGCTCAGCACATTCTTAGTCCTACATTCTTACATGTAAAACATCCCGATGCATCCCGAAGCATCCCGAAGCAGCCGGAAGCAGCCGGAAGCAGCCAGAAAAGCCCGAGCACCCGGCGCGCCACGCTGGAAGGGGAGACGGGCTCCGGGAAGCCCTCGGGCGGAGCGCTGCGCTCGCTGCACTTTCGGCTCGGCGGCGAGATCGGCTCCGGAAAGCCCGCCACCTGCATGTGCAAGTTTACACAGCTATATAAGTCTGTTACATGATTTTGCTGCAAGGTTTTTGTGCAACAGCTGTGCCATCTTGCAATGCTTCCCACCTGCGGTGTCCAGACGCGCCTGAGGGGAAGAACAGCGCCCATCATCGGGGTGCGAGTGGAATAGGAGTCACTATAGAGTCAATAGAGTCAATAGAGTCAATAGAGTCAATAGAGTCAATAGAGTCAATAGAGTCAATAGAGTCAATAGAGTGGAGTCTGCAAAGCACTGAAAATACAGCAGCCAAGGCACGACTTGCCACCAGAGCTCGAGGCCTCAGCGGATCCACGCTTGGCCACATAATGTCATAACATGTCATAACTCCTCTCTCAGTGTTTGCAAACATATTATGCAGTTTTTGAAGCAAGGGGGGCTGCTTTTGCTGTCATCGGATATGCACCGAGGCGCCGTAGACCGCTTCGTCTTGGGAGTGGTCGGGCCCGCAGGGTCCTGCTCAGCATGTTTGCCACATCACGCCTCATCTTAGTCTTCTACGTCTGCACTGCAGGGCTCACAGGCTCCTCGGGGCTGGGGATCTTGACCTGCACCGTGAGCCTTGCACACCACGGTCAGATTTTCGCAAAGCCGGAGTGGGGTTTGGGCTTTTGGATCCACACCTTGTTACCCATGGCCCATGACCCTTTACATCCCTGCACTCATGGACTCAGAACTGAGGCTCCCACGTGCCACTGCACTCCAGCCCACGAATCAGGGGCCAGTTCGCGGAGGACTCAATCTTCCGATCGGCAAGCGGGAGCGTTGCCCTGAAGATTTTGGGGCGCGGCTTTGCTCACTTCTTGGCACAATTCTCACAATTCAACTGAGGTCATGACCGGCCGATCAAGCAGTCCTCTACCTCTGAATCATCGGGATCCACTTCGTGGATCTCCACCATCAACAGCTGCTGCCTCCACGGGCACAGTTGGCTACCTGGAGTCGGAAACACACAGACGGCCGCACCTCTTGTTGTACGGCACCAGCACAGTCTTGTGAAGCATGCAATCCTACAGGCTCGTTCGAAATGAAGTGACAAGGGCGAGAAAGGGGGAGAGAGAGGGAGAGAGGGGGAGAGAGAGAGAGAGAGAGAGAGAGAGAGAGAGGAAGAGGGAGAGGGAGAGAGAGGGAGAGAGAGAGAGGGAGCGAGAGAGGGAGAGAGGGAGGGAGAGAGGGAGAGAGAGCGAGATTGAAGCCTTCCCAACCCCATTTTAATGTCTTAACAACCCTTAACAGCCCTTGCAAACCCCTCCTCGCACAGGCAGAACAAACTCCACGCCAAAGCTCCCGGGCCGGGTCCTCAGAATTAGGGTCCGCAGGATTTGCGTTCCCGCGGACAAACTCCGTCTTCCTCGAGTTGATCTCGTTCTCACCCTCTCCTGTCAGTTGAAAACACGAAGGGTGCGAGACTCTAGCGACTCCATAGCGGAGCGTGTGCAGCCGAGCCTGGGTAGTATGCAGTCGCCTCGGCTGGAACTTGAAGAAAGCCACTCATTCATTTTTTGCCTGCTGCTGCTGCTGCTGCCCCCTTGCCTGCAGCACTGGGGCCTCAACACAATAGCAATGCGGTCCAAAGTTGTCCTTGGGCGGCGAGACGGCAGATGAAACCCTTCAGGCAGTCCGAGGCTCCCCCCAATTCAAGGTCCAGGCAGACGGCAGCAAGTCTAAAGCCTGGAAAAGCACATGAACAGCACCAAGGAGTCTGGTCCTGATCCGACCTGATCAGGCTGAGGCTGGTGCCCGATCCACGCTGACAACCATCAAACCTTCTGGGGCTCGGGTAGAACCTGAAGGTCCCAGTCCCACATTTGCCCTCGAAGTCCCACGAACAGCAACTCCCAGCTTGGGGAAGGGCTTTGTCTCGCACCCCCAGCCTCACTCAGCATGAATCACCAGGTCTCAATTTGGATCCCCTCAGCATCCTCAGACTGCCTCCATCAACTTCTTCTCTTCTTTCGGAAAGGGATACATCGGATACGTTGTTGTCTGCAGGGGCGACAATTCAAGCTATTGCAGGTGACAAGCTGTAGCGACATGCAGAATCTCAGACCAGTTTCCAGCAGAGCCGTAATGGACGTGAGAGCATGAGATATGCCTTGCAGAGTCCCACTGCCCCGCCTCATCTGGAAAGACAATGCCGAGGGGATTCCTGATTGCTCCAGCCGACAGAGACGGAGATTAAGCACGATTGGGGTACATTACGCAAAGCAGCAAAGTTGCGTTGACGTGAACACTTGGATGACTGCATAGCAGCAATGCTTTGCAGCATCGCACTGGTGCTGCAAAGCATCTCGCGGCTTGGCTTCCGTGGAGTTGGCGAGTACCACTGGACCTTCGGTGCCGGGTAGAGCCTTGGCTTCTGCGGAACACCGACCCCTGCTACAGCACAACGGCACAGCACACCTGAAAAATGAAACGTGAAACAGTTGGCCGAGTCACACAGATGAATCCAGCAGCGGCATGAGACAAGCGCAACTCAGGGAGCCGTATCTCACAAGGAGGCCTTCTCCCGAGTTCGAAGCTTGGGCCAGCGCCGTATCACACAACCACACACAAGATACCACAAGAACGGCATGTGTGTGACATTTCGTGAGGCATGCGGCAACAACACAAGGGTGTCATGCTCGTTGCCAAAAAACTGCGAACTTTTAGCATATGATGGCAGCTGTCAAATGGTCCATCCAGTCATGTTCAGGTCTCGAACATGTTCGTTGAACATTTTCAGTGCAAGCTCGTGCAATCTCTGGACCGTGTGCCAGAGAACGGACAAATCATAAATCAAAACCTGATGCAAGGAACGAAGACTGCATCGTGGCTTTACTGCCACTCCGTGTAGTAAGTGGCGAGTGAACCCCAAAGCAGGAGCCATGCCATCACGATGGTCACAATGCTCCTTAAGGCACGAAAGCGCCCATGGCGTTGTGCTCGACCGGGCAGGCCAAGCCGTTGCCAGGATTCACGAAACGGCTCGGCGACCGCAAGAGAGGGGGGATGTCTTCTTTCGTGGCGCAGAGCCATCCGGTCACGCCACATGGGTAGTTCATTTCGCCCATTGGCACGGTCATTTGATAGCCAAATGGTCCACCGCCACAGTTGCCTGCGCCGGGGCAGGGCCCGGGACAACCAGGGCCAGGAGCCGGCGATGTGGCAGAGCAAGAGCAGAGCTCCGTCTCGCGGCAAATCGGGCTCACAACCCCCATACCATTGCCCGTGGTGACGCCAGTCTCATAGAGATCCATCCTGCGTCCAATGGGGTACTTGGAAGGCCCCGGCCGGCCGCCGGTGCATGTGAGCATCGTCAGCGTGTCATTGTCCAAGTTCTCGAAGAACTTCAGCGTGCCGTCCGCTTGGGTTCCGAACTTCGGCTCGAGGCGCACAGGCTCTTTTTTCATCGTCTCCGTGTCCGGCCACCACGCCTTCATGCACTGCTTGAAGGCCTCATTCATGAAAAGATCCACATACAAGTCAAGGTTTTGGGGATTAACCTTCTTATGCTCCTCAATGTAGCTCGGTGCGGCCTTCATCAAGCACCGACCCAAAGTGCTGATGTCCCAAACAGGCAGCTTAAAATTCAAGCGGATGTGGTTCGCATGTGCTGGCATCTCCGTGGATTCCATGATGACTCCTCGGACTGTCTTCCCCATGGCCTGGAGTCGACGCACCGCTCGGACAAACTGGCTTTGGTAGGACCGCAACGTGAGCCATGTGTTGTGGAAGCCGCCGCCCACATCAACTGGGATGTAGCCAGGCATGATGTTCCAACCCAAGGGAACGAAGTTTCGGGCCGTGGTCCTCGCCATCTCGGCGACGTCGTCCTGGCTGACACCGCCGAGGGCCTCCATCACCTCGGCCACAATGCGCAAACCGCCGGAGCCCACTCCTTGTTCTTGGTGGATTTTCAACACCTCCGTGATCGCTGCGGCCAGTTCCTTCTCAAACGCTGGGCCACTGCACTTTCCTTTTGGGCACCAAGGCTTCCTGATGCCGAAAGTCTTGAGCAACTCGTCCAACTTCGAGCTTAGGGTTGGATAAAACGAGGTTAAAACAATCACCCGGTCCCTGTCCCCATCCTCAAAGAGGTCCCAGTTGATGGAAGTTCCGTTGCGCCCCCTGGGGGTAAGTTGCTTTGCGAACGCCGCCATGAGCGCAGGAGTCCCGAGCAACATTGGCTTCAAGGTGACCTCTTCTTGAAGGTACAACTCCTTGGCTGCCTTCTCAACGACTGTTTGAGCAGAAGCCTACACTGCAAGTGACGGCACAAACTGACGGATCGCGGAGGAGCACTCTCAGTGCGTCCTTGAAAGGTTTCTTGAACTTTGTCTGGTTCAACTGCTCCGACTCATGGAAGGTGAAACCCTCCACAACCTGGAATCGCACGGAAAACTCCCCCTCGTCGACATCCGGGCGTGCGCAGTCATAGCCAGCAGAGTCCACCAGGTGCTCGTGAATGGTGCACCACGTGCGTCTGTCGTTGACGTCCCCTGGCTGCGTAGGGTAGTAATAGCCATCCAAATTCAGAATACCTAGCTTCGTGCATTGGAGGGGTCGTTCTTCTGAGGCATCCGACATGGTTTGACTGTCTTCTTGGAGCTTTCCGCGCAGTGCCAACAAGGAATTCTGCTCCGCCTGATCTTCTAAAGCGCCGCATTCACGCTCGGCACAATCTTCGGAGAGCCCTACAGCTCTCTGAAAGGCCGCCACAGCCCACAGGCAAGCACAAATGTGAAAGGCCATGGCAAGGCTGCCAAGAACAAACCGGCGGCGCTACGCTTTCCTTGAAGCAGGCGGCTGATGTCCGGCTTCGAGCTCCGGATCTGCTGTCAAGTCACACAAGGACTTTGAAAAAGAATGTCTTTCGAGGTTCAGCTTGAGGCCAAGCATCCGCTGGTTGCCGCATGGCACGGCAAAGTCGCAACTTTTTTTTGCCGCCATTATGTCAGGAGCGGCCCGAGATAGGCTGCCCAGCCAGCAACCACCTGTTGCAAACAGAATCTCTAGGCACTGCGATTCTGGCAACGAGCAGAGAACTGGCATGCTTGTTGCATCTTGCTGCAGCGCAGACTTCAAGAACATTGCAAGTTGCTTAACCTGATAAATATCCCATCTTGTACACCAATAAACACCAATGCCCGGTGCAACCTCTATGCTGAAGGAGATGTCAAAACTACAGTCAAGCAAGGAGGGGCTTCTCCTAATCTCATCCTCCTCTGCTAGAGAACTTTCAAAACATTCTAAACTCAAGCTGGCTTCCGTTGTTCATGCCATACAGGCAGGAGCGAAAGTGCTTGATGTACAGCCGACTCACCCCGAATCTGTACATCCCGTACCTCGTCCTCCGTCCCCTGCAGTGGGTCCGGCGGATTGCCGGCGATGGCGGCGGAGTCCGAACCTCAGTGCTCCCAAGTCCTAAAGAGAAAGATGATGTGAGATACACATACTGATGACATTGATATGACATTGATGACACTGATGAGATGTGCCGGGCATGGATCAGAACACAGGCTGAGGCTGGCCAGTCGTGGGAAGTCAGGGACATTGCAGCTTGGCCGCTCTGGGCAGGCCTCCACTGATGTGTTCCAGACAACAGATGTTGGAGCAAGGCTGCCGCGCTCCGATTTGCATTGCACCACTAGCCTCCTCACCGAGCTCTTCGGAAGAGACCTTGTCGATCAACCGAGAGTGCAGAACAGCAAAAAAAGGCTGATTATTGAGAAGGGCCGCGTGTGGGAACGAGCGGGACTCGCGGCTGCCAAAACCGACGTGGAAAGAGGGCAGGAGCGAAGCGGCACCTCAGCAATGCAGAACTTTATGCTCAATATTGCGACGTGTTCGCCGCATTCGCCGTATTCGCCGATTTGGCTTCAATCGTGGCCCGGGGCCTGGTGCAAGAAGCGCGGGACCGGCGTTGCCGGTATTGCCCTCGGGAAGGCTACTTGCACTTGGTCTTCTGCTTGGCCTTCTGCTTGGCCTTCTGGACCCTGGGCCTCGTTAAAAGACGAGGACAACACGACCCCGATGGCCCCGGTCTCTTTCCTTGTCGGTTCTTGCTAGGCCGCAAGCAAATGTGCCTGTTCTGCCAGCCGTAGACAGCTGCATTCACCCAGCCTAAGGCGTACACATGCAAACACACAAACACGTGTACAACATTGCATTACGCGTTGTCACGCAGTGAGGACGAGCGTATGCAAGTGTAGCGGTCTGTACGGTTTGCTTGCAGTTCACCATGCACCAGTCTAGTTCCAACACATCACGCATTCTTGAGCAGAACATGTCGAACACAGTATCTCATTGACGTGAACAGTCTATCGGCATCTCTTCCCACCGCCAGCCACGTTAGCTCTATAAAGATAAGACAAAGTACATGAAACATAGGATGTGTGTGTGTGTGTTGCATTCTGGTTTTTCGCAGCTCCTTCAACCCAACTCGGGCACCCACCGTTACTGTACATGGCAAAGCTGGCGAAACGACCAAACCTTGGATCGGCAAATCAGCACTTAGGCTCGGCTGGCAAAAGTGCAGACGGAACCCGACAAACTGAACATGGGTTTGAGATTCCGAAAGTTTCAGGCTGCATCAGGCTGCCCAGTAACCACAGGTCTTCTGGGAGGACTCCCACATAGAGCAACCATTCTGGAAAAGCCTTGAAAGCAGCACACACAAGTCAGATCGATCCGCAGCGGCCCATCTGCTTCGAAGTGGCCATGTCTGAGGCCGCAACGGTGACGAGGAAACCGCATGGGTAAGCCAAGGCCCGCCAGGATGCCCTCCTTCATTCGCTGGATCACGCAGAGATGTCTGAGAGAAGTCTGGGAGAAGTCTGAGATAAACGAGACGGAGAGCATCGTCGACTTGCCCAGAGGTCAGAGGCCCCCCCCCCCCAGCTCCTCACAACGGCGCTTGGCGACGGCGTCCGCACAACCGCCACCAACGATGCCAGATACATTAACAACCTTGGAAGGAGCCGGGACGTGTTTCCCTATCACAAACAGGAAAACCCTTTGACTTTGGTCTCGACGTGCATAAAAAGTTTGCGCAGAGCACCTAAGATGCCGGGCCAGCAGTGCATGTGCCTGTGACCGGTGCACCTACACCAGCTTTCATCCTGGGGGGCGAGCGACTTCAAGCACCTTTGTGAAGCCGAAGGCTCTTTGGCCTGCAGTGTCTACAAATGGGCTCGGTTGACTTCCACGACCACTGTCCGTTGCTACCGCACAAAGTTCTTCGCGATGTCACACTCGAACTCTCTGTGTTCTCTCTTCATCCAGATTGGCACTGCACGTCCTGAGCAAACTCCCGTTGGTGTCTCGCGCGTCTCGCGTGTCTCACGTGTCTCGCGTGTCTCGCGTGTCTCGCTCCCTAGCCTAGGAACGCAAACAGTTGTGATCGACTGAGCTTGGTGTTGCTGCTGATCTTTCCCGTGCTAGCTTGCCCGGGAATCGAAGACCAGCAACAAAACGAAACAGTTACAAAGTCACAGCAAGATTGCTGGTTTGTCGAAATCGGGCCACACCGCTATCAATGCCGCATCTACGGTGTGCGGGTTCTATACTTGCATATCCTGCTCCCTGGGCACATCCTGCATTGCCATTGCCCTTTCCGTTCATGGCTCAGCTTCGGGGCTCCTCAAGGGCAGAAGTTTGCCCTGAAAAGGGGTCGAAGCAAGCATAAGCTTTTCCTTGCTCTTCCCCTTCCGCGACGGAGACGTCAGTAGAGTAGTGAAGAGGGCAACACGTCAGCGCCGGTGGAAGGGGGAGATTGCGAAGTTGCAGAGTGTTGCATTGGGGGGGGGGTTAGCCGGCTCTCTCTCTCACTCCTATCCTCCTCACTCGGTTTGGCCATCCCCCTCCTGCTTGTACCCTTCCTCTTCGTCCTCCTCTTCCTCGTCCTCTTCCTCTTCCTCTTCCTCGTCCTCGTCCTCGTCCTCTTCCTCTTCCTCTTCCTCTTCCTCTTCCTCTTCCTCTTCCTCTTCCTCTTCCTCTTCCTCTTCCTCTTCCTCTTCCTCTTCCTCTTCCTCTTCCTCTTCCTCTTCTTCTAAACAAGCTTACGGGATTGGGCCCGGAACACACTGCATGCATGGCCACAGCTTCCGCGTGCGTACACCCTTTCTGTCAGGGCAACCAGCTCAAGCCGCATCAAGCCTTCCATGTGCAGGTGCATGGAAGCAACATCCAATGCCTGAGCTCTTTAGGCAGAACAGAAAAAAACTCAAAAGCAACTACAAATAACATCTCTTGAGCACATTGAGAACCTGAGGCCCCAAGCCCCAACGGCAGCAGCTGCCGGCCACGAGAACACAAGAAGCTTGGCCTCGCCGCATACAGTTACAGCGAGAACAAAAAGGCTCTACTTAAAAATGCTCTTCACAAACCCCCGGACCAGAAGCCGGAAGCACCGCTGGCTATGAAGCGCGCTGCCCATAACCTGAGTGGAGTGCCACACCGCTGTGGCACTGGCTGGACGCATGCAAGCAACGCCAGGGCACAAGCATCAAGCCACGAGCCAAGGAGCCCCAGCGGCGATTTGCGCCTCCACAAAGCAAACGGCGCATAGAAGCGCATGAAAGAGGCCACGACCTGGGGCTCACAGGCACTTCGACAGCTGAGCTCTCCCATGTTCTCACAAGGCAGGGTTCTCGACTTCTTCAGTGGGTGAGGCTCGGCGCCACACAGAAAATGCTAAACTGCTGCGGAAGTTCACGTCCCAAAGGCCAAATCGCCCAAACGGCAAGCCTCGTTGCAGCTCGTTGCATCTCGGCTCCTCCCTGACTTGTCGTGTGTTCCGTCCACGGGCCGTGTAGGGCATGCACTCATAGCCAGGGTCCTCACAAGACTGCCGAAATCAGGGAGGCATCCGGAATAGCTCGGAGGCTACATGACACTGCGAGACGTTGACGTTCGAATTGCAAACGATACTGACTTGTGCAGGACTTCGAGGTATGCCGAGGTTCAACCAAAGACAAGCACAAATCTGCCATCGCCAGGTGTCGAAGCTGGCCTTGGCACCGCCCCAATCTAACACTTTGTCACAAGCACGAGCAGCGTGCACCGCCCCATCGAATCGCGTGCCATCAAGCAACAGTTGAAGACATAGCCGGGTTCTTTGAAAGTTGCCCGGAGAAGCCAGCTGGAGCCCACCACCTGAGCCACAGGAACAGTGAGAAAGAAGGTGCCGCGTGAACATAACACGTCCGCAAGATTGAGGGCGGTGGAGGGTGGTGGAGGAAGCGAAGCACGGAGGAAGCGGAGGGTGTGGAGGGCGCAGAGGGCAAGCAGCACGCGCAGAGGGAGGGCGCAGAGAGCGCGGAAGGCGAGCACAGCATGGCTAAGGAGGGTGTGCGTATACACACACACACACAAAAAAAAAAAAACGGGGAATGCGGAGAGCACCGAGGGCGAGTCTATGCCTCCTCCCATCAACCGGCTATCACGCTCCCCCTTTCTCAGTCCACGGTCAACCAGATATCGCACTCTGAACCCTTGTGCATGTGTCCCGCTCCCCAGCCGCGAACGGGATCTCGTTCCCCCACACCCTGCCCGTCACGCGTCAACCCCCATGGTCCATACCTCCCCCCGTGCCTCTCCCGTCCACATGCTCCTCCCTTGACCATTTCCTCTTCGTGGCCTCCTAGAATCATTCCGTCCAACTCTCCTCGGTTGACCGTGTGGCCGCTTCCGTCAGAATGCGATCTGAAAGCACGCTGCGCGGAACCCAACCCAGAAAGGTTTTCGCTAACAAGCCCCCCACACTGAGCCTCTAGCACAATTGGAAATTCAATTGGAAACGCTCCGAGTCGGAAGAGTGAACATCATGTCAAAGCCATCCAAGGCAAGTAGAAGCTCTGAGGCTGGCTCGCTGCTCCCAAGGGCTGTCAAGCGAAGGACCAGCCAAACCTATGTTCACTTTGGCAGTAAAACCAGGGACTCCACAGACTCCACAAACCGAAAACCATGTAGACTGACGGGCAGCACCTCCCATGCTTGTTCAACCTGCAGCACAGCTCGTGCCCACAAACATACTCGCTCTCAAGGCATGAAAGATGTCCCCGACACTCTTGGCGCCAACACACGCACCCAACACCAACATCGACAGTGATTCGAAAACATGCTGACCATCGGGGCCACATGACACCAAGCAACACCACCGCTCAATCAATCATCGAAGTGCAGGTTGTCGAACTGAGAAGCTGACCACCGGCTGCGGGCATGGAATCGCATCGCCATGACAGATTGAACAGATATGCATTTCCGCACGAGCTCCCTGAAGTTAGCTTGAGGTCCGGCCCGGCCAAAGAGCACAGAAAACACTGAGCGTTGGCGAATCTCTGGACAAAATGGCTATCGCTGGCATTATTGGAAGCGGAGGCGTACATGGACTGTCCCCGACGGATGAAGCCCAAATACCCTGGCACAGCTTGAGAAGTCCTGTTGCTTTCTTCACATAAAGCTGTCAGGCTCCGCGAACAATCTCCAAACACAACAGCCCGACCACCTGCGAAGCCCCCGAAACCCATGAAAACTGCAAAGCCCACTGAACCTGACAACTTCCCCTTTCCTGTTCACCGGCGTTTTGACCTTCCTTGAACGGATCTGCGCATGGCAGAAATCACAATTATGCATTAATTTTACTTTTTTCAAATTCTTAAATCATGAGTGGCATAAGCAATTAGTGGAAGATCTTACTTAACTACAGATGAATTGAGGGAGGCCTTGCCCATGCTTGGGTTGAGTTGGGCCGGTGGGGGTAGTCGGGTAATGATGTGGTTGGGCTAGGGGTGGTTAGAGGGGTGGATAGGGCTGGGGCGTAAGGTAGCAAATCATCCAACATGGGTTCAAGTATTTTCCTAACTGTCCTTCGACACACTGGCCTTCGCCTTCTGCTTGCGCCCTGCAGGAAGAAGATACAAATACGTGCCGGTGCAATGGCGGGAACGCAAATCAACAAATGCAGACTTCTTGAAAGGCCTTGGTCTTGTGCGTGTGAAAAAGTAGATCGCTTCTCGTCTTTCGTCTTGGTCACCGATTCCTGGCTGTTCGGCAAAGCACCGTTCGCAGCTTTCAGAAGCGGGGTACTGAGGCCGGAGTCACAGTGACAAACTACGCAGCTGCACTTTTTGGTCTGAGCCCAAGGCGCCTATCGGTCACCAAGCTGTCTCAATGCTACCATACATGACTGAACGCGTGACTGTACAAACAAACTAGCATTCGTCCTTCAGCATTTGAATGTCACGCAGCTCACCCCGGTCCCTAATGACAGGGTAATTCCACACCCGTCTTATCTACGGGGGAGCGAGTGGAAAATGCGTCTACTGCGAGACGTGAAACATTACTCGGGAGACGTGTTCTCCCGGACAACGGCTTCATTTGCAATGAGGGCCTGATTGAGGAGCGTCGGTTTCATGCTTTTTGTAAAGCAGTCGGCAAGTTGCAGATGTGTCGGTATCCAGCGGAGTATGTCTCTAACTCTATTTCGGCGCGAACACTTCGCTGGCGTACCACAAGGCCTGGCGTAAAGCGGCCATCTCGATAGCCAGCCTCTTGTCTTCAACGGGGCGAGGTACCGACGATAGCAGATGGTCTGTGAGTGACCTGCAATCAGAGTACTGCAGGTGTAGCATCTTTCTTGGTGCTAGCTCACTCCAGTCGTGCAGTGACGGAAGCTTGCCCTGCAACTCCAGTCGCCGTGTTCAGCTGCATGCTGCAAGCTGTACGCCTCACAACTCTTTGCATCGTGGAACTGCCGAAGGCTACCAAATGAAACTTGTGTTTGCACGCATTCACATCGCGGGCAGTCTCTGCATCGGTGAGATAGCGCAGTCTGCCTCTCTGGGACTTGCACCCAGCCTCTGCTGCAAATGAAGCATCACAAAACGTGACTACTGCAAGAGGCGCACTGCCTCATGGCAGTATCTTAGCACGAAACACAAGACTACGATCCGCATCTCCCAAAGCCAGTGCAACTACTCTGTTGGCCTCCTTCATCGTCTCAACCATGGTATCGCCTCGAGGGTTTTCTACCCAAAGATGACCTCCTGGGGAGATCACTTCCTAAACTGATGGTGAAGTTGCGGGTTCCCTTCAGGTTAGAGTTATCTTTACGCAGATCCGCTCGCGATTCGCTTATCTGGAGCGCATTCCAGGCTGGTTCGAAGAACCCTCCCTTTCGCAATGGTGCCTCAAGAAGCGATTCAAATAAGTCACAAAACGCGGATACTGCTTGGTGGAGTTAGATATCCCAACAAAACCGCCATGTCTGTAAACTCCAAAACTTGTGGCCAACTCTTCTTCTGTCGCGTCCTGAAACATCGACCTTCGAGTTCTCTTGAGCTTACTCTGCTTGCACAACTTGAGTAGCTCGAGACAATGGCTCGTTTCAAACGCTTGTGCCTCCAAGAACTCGTGAGCCTTTGCCTCTACAGGATCGGTGTCCTGCGCTTCTGCCATCAAAGAATCGGACTCCTGTCTCAACGGTGATCGTGTACGTTCTCTGCCCATCTTATCTCTGGCTTGAACCTCTGCCCTCTTGGCACGGCCAACGACGGGAGCAGACGGAGACATTGGTGCACTGGAAGCTTGGGCAGAGCTCATTGGCGCTTCGACTTTCATGGGGGTAGACGGTGCTGATGACGCTTTCGCAACCGGTCTCAGCGTAGGAGGCGCTGTCACGGGATCCCTTTCCCGTTCAGGACCATTGACTGCTGCAACCTCGACCTCGTCTGCCGGGCTCATTTTCCTAGCATTGACAAGCACGGGCACACCCAATAAGCATTTTCTGCCCCACCTCCTATCACGTGGCTTGCTGTCGACCAAACAGTGGCTGTCGACCCAGGTAGGTCGTCCCTTCGATAAATGACCACCCACCCGGTAGTCCATGTCCATGGGCGCCGCATTCCTCTGCAGCGCACGAGCCACTTTTCGAGACGGTACAAAGGCCTTTCGCGCTCTTCCCGAGCCCTGCGCCGAGAGTAAAAAGGGGATGTCTCATCAAAACGGGCCATCACGTTCCCCATGTTCTCATCTTCGTCCATGATTGATCCTGGGGTTCTGGGCCGTTTGCCCAGCACGTGTTGCGAGGGACTGCAACCTTGATGACGGGACAGCTCGTTCTTGGTAGCCACACACTCACTAACCACCATGACCACGTCCTCCCACGCTGATGGCTGAATTTCTTGCACGGTCTTTCTTATCAGTGCCTTGAGCAAACCTCCGTGCCTTTCTACTTTCCCTAACTCTAAGGGTGCATTGCGGAGGTGAATCCCATGTTGTGAAATGTGCTGCGCGAACTCTCCCTTAAAGTGAGTTCCTCTGTCAACCACCACCTGCTGCGGGTGACCGGCCCATGACACCCAACGCTCCATGAAAGCGTTAAGGCATTGCCGCGCACTGGGATTTCCTCCTCCTGACTTTACCAGGGCTACCTGCTGAAAGCTTGCCCCCATGTCAACCATGTTGACTGCAGTGTAACGGACACCATCAACATCACATCCTTCACTTCAAGGCAATCCAAACCGAGCGTATAATTAAATTCTTTCGGGAACACTGACTCACCTGACACAGGGCGATGTCTTGGAAATGGGGCGGTGTGCACGCAAGCCTTGCACCTGTGAAGTCTAGGATGAACTCCTTGGATGCCTTGCTCTGCCTTAGGACCTGCTTCAGGACTTTGCCTGAAAGATGACCGAATGCCCTGTGGAGACGCCTGATTGCCACCCTGGCGCGCTGCGGGAACCGTCGCCAAGCTGCTCCCTCCGACGTCGGAGCGCCTGGGAAGGACATCTGCTCAAGGATGAGCTGCTCTCGCTTTTCAGGGGTAAACACTGACGCTCCATTGTCTTGTTCCTTTAGTTGTTCGGCCATTTCTTCATCGGGAATCTTCCATTTCAGAGTCTAGATCCCCTGATGCTACGAAGTAACTGCGCGCATAGGAGTTCAGATAAAGTTCTTGTGAGATGTCCCGACATGTGACCCAGAAATCTCGGTCCTCTGTGTCAGCATAACACCTGGGACTCATGCCAAAACTCTCTGTCCACGCACACAGAACCTGAAGTGCATCGTCAATGCGCGGCCCTGTCCCTGAGATGCCTCATATCGCCTCATACCTCAACGGTACTCTCCAATGTGGGATGTCCGTCAGGGCTGATCATGACCACGCTTACTCCAGCTGTGTCTTCGCACTCTAGACACAGCTCCTCGGTGGGAGCATCGACCCTCAAGACTACAAGACCGGGCACACCCGTCTCGAGGTTGGTGATGGCCTCGGCGATCACCTGCGCGTCAAGAGGTTCAGGCGTCCATTTGCAATGCGAGATAGGTGGTTCAGTGGGAGTGAGAGCGAGCATGTGATCCGTAGCCACTGCAGCGTTGAACGCAATTGCTTGCAACACACGGTTTCCCGCAACCATTTCCTGAATCCCACTAAGCACCTTCTTCCTTTGCCTATTGCTGAGCTTGGGCGATGAGTGCGCAACATCCCTGGCGAGTTTTGGGACTGTCGTTAGCATGATCAGCTCAAACTCGTCATCTGAATCCTCAACTCCAAATCTCACCTGCTTGAATCCGCCAAAATCACCCTCGTCCCTGGGCATGAGAGCCATATATGCGCTAAGCTCCTCGCGGTCATCAAGGGTCTTCGGAACGGTGTCCGAGGCGAAGGCTTTGGGATACAGCCAAATCGCCAAACGGGCTCCTCCATTCGGAGGCGCCTCGGAAGGACACACTTGCTCTGCACTGAATTCACCACAAACATCTCCGGCGCTGTGACCGGGGGGACAGACAGTTCCCTGAGAAATCCATGGCTGTTTCTGTCCTTCGGATTGTCGTTGCGGAACAGCCATCCATCCCCCTTGGTGTTGCCGCACGGCTTATAGCCCTTCCTCGTGTGAGGGGTCAGTGCTGTAACTTTGAAATCACGCCGCTCACACTTCTCGGTGCGCTCCAAGTCGGTGGTGCTGAAGGACTTGGGCACGCAGGGCCCCGCACAGAGGGCAGGGCTTGCACGAACGAAGAGAATCATCAATCACTCCATCCGAGATCAAATCAAAAAGCACTCTCCTGGACTCTCCTGTTCCATGACAGGGATTCGTCGTTGGACAAGGGACCTCCGCCAGGTTGATGTCAAGAATTGCTGGATCCGGTTTGATCCTCTTGCCGCCCGGACGGCGCCGGGGGTAAATTTTTATGCCAGATAGCCCTGTCGGCGTTCCGCCTCCGGCGGTCCAGGGGTCGGCCTTCCTCGAATCGCTGCTGCCACCACTCTGCGTTGGCGGCCTGGATGCTCTGCTGTCCGCTAGGCTCGGAGCCCATCTCCGGGACGGCGCCGGTGGCGGCACCCTTATGTTCCCCTCAGTGGATCAATCGCCGGCCTGGCTCCCTTTCTCGTTGTCGTCCCAATCGTCCCAGGAGTTCCGGCCATACGCCTCGCGATCTGCGTCGCGGTAACTGGAGCTGGTCTCATAACGGCCGCGGTCTTGATTCGCTCGATCTCGACGCTGGGAGGTTCGGCTGTCGAAATCGGACCGCTCCCTCCGGAACTTTCTCCGGGACTCCCCCGAACTGCTACGGCTCCTGCGGCTGCGCTGTCGATGCCTGGAGCGGGACTGGCCGAATTGCGACAAAGCATCCTGCAAGAACTGTTCTGCACGTTCAGCACGGCGTTCGGCCTCCTGTCGGTCACGCTCCGACTCGCGGAGGTGGTTTCGGAGTCGGTTCACCTGTGTGACCCGTTTTTTTCAGGGATTGTACCTGGGCTGGTAAAGGAAGGTGCGATGAGGTAGTCGGAAGGAGGAAGCGCCAGTGGAGCTGGTTCACTTGACCCGTAAGCGAATCCAGGTCCCATTTCGCAATGTGCGCGGAACGCTGTTTCGTCCGGAGTGTGCTGCAGTCTCCAACCCCTGCGGGGGGACATCCAGCGGGCTCGCGGCAATCTCCTCCGGCTCGTCGTCGGGCGCGGTGACCGGGGCAGCACGCTCAGGCTCTGACTCACACGTCAGGACGCAGGCGCTGCTCTCCTTGCTGTCACCATCCAAATACTGGCGGAAGCTGGTCAGAACGTCCTCGTAAGCCTTCTCTGCATCGCCTGTCCGATGCGTGCACCAGTCGCAAGTCCCCCGGCAGGGTCCGTTCATGAGTGGCCATGACTGATCAGAATTGCAATGCTGCATCGGAACAGCAAGGCCAGCAACGTGCAACAGCATATCTTCGATCAGTATCCTGCCAGCTACAGAACGGCGCCTGTTTTGCTTACAAACGACGCTGACATTTACAGCTTGGTATCCATCCTTCATCGCGTCCGTGATCTTCCGGCGGATGAACCTGCAATGCTGTAAAAAGCCGGGGTCTGCTGCTATCTCCCTCATTATAGAGGGGTGGCTGCCCACGTGGTCGCGCATAGACATATCGCGCCCACTTACGCCCGGCAAGTTCAGGATCGAGACTGCGAGAATTCGGGAGGTACGCGAGGTCGAAAACAGTCCAACAAACGCGCCTCCCATCTCCAGCGTAGTCTCTGCAGAACGAAGCTCTGTGAATCGGTCGGCAAACGCCTGACCGTCCCAGCTGTTGCGGACGGCGTTCACGACTGGCTCGTGAGCATACCCAAATGTGAACACATCCGCACAGAGCTTCACGCTGGACTCCCCTCCACCCTCTGTGGGGTGGGCTGGTGCATCGAGCTGCTGTGGCGTGCCCTTTGGCGCCGCGTTCTTCTGAGTAGGAGCGATGGCCATTGCAGCTATCAAGTCGGAGTTCTGCTCAACAGCAATGTCTATGGACTTACGTTTGCCTGTTACACCACCTGCCTTCTCGCTTGCCCTATCTGCATCTACTCAGGCTGTACCGGTAACTCGTACGAGACGGGGCTGCTTCCCGTCTGAGCCAATCGGTCAGATTGATGCATAACAGGCCTGAATCCGAAGTCCGAAAAAGCCTAATCTCAAGGGCCTTGCGTGGGTCCGAGGGCACCCCACTGCAAGCGCCATTGTACAAATCCTTGACCATCCCCAACTGAGCTTGCGCATGGAGCGAAAGCAAGAGTGGGGCACTTCCCTGAATTTCATGTGAGTCCAGAACTCCACTGAGTTTTTCCTTTGGGGAAACATCATCATCTTCGGCCAAGTCTAGGGGCAATAGGGAGAAAGGAAAGGTTCGGGTTCCCTGTGTTGTTGTGGAACCGCTCAAACCCTTAACGGTCTTGGACAACTCCTTTGCAAACCTCCAAACAGGCAAACTTAGCCATGCTCTCCCGACTCCAATCCTCACCAGGAACTGTCGAGTTGCATCCTTCATCTAGGACTGCATAGACATGTGGGGAAGAGCGAATGTCCACTACGGGAAGTCTGCTCAAACACTGGTTCGTGTCAGTAACGCCCTCGTGTGGTTCGGCGAGCGTGGCAACCATTGCAGTTCCGGGCCTTCTCGCCGACGACGTTACCTCCCAACTTGCGCTCGAGGGGCTCGACTCCGCTTGGTCGTCAAGAGCCTCTTGGAGGTAGGCAAACAGATCTCCCCTCGTTATCGTGGGTTCAGTCGCAAAGTGGCCCTCAACTGTCTCGTTGAACTGTTCAAGGGCTGGCACCACTACTTCTATGGGGACTAGATCTGTTGTTCTGCCCACTATGGAGCGCATCATATCAAAGTCCAGAGTGTTAGACTCTCGCAGCTGTGCTGCGGCTGCATCTGAGCGATCTACCTGGGCACGCGTGCATGTGAAGGGATCTGCCAAAGACTGCGCCTTGCGTGTCTTGGTGACTGTGCCACAGGATTTGCAAGCGCGCATGTCAATGTACGAGTTGCTCCCTGACTTGCTGAAGACCTTTGCAACCTCCTCTGCGCTTGGGTCGGAAGCCTGCGCTGGATGACGCGGTACCTTCAACGCTGGTAGCTGAACCAAGCACGGGAGTCGGAGGCGCCATCGTACTAAGAGGATTCTCCCTCCTACGCACCTCTACCAAGCACTCGTGCACCCAGTTCAGGAAATCGCCCAAACACTTAGATGGACACTTCTGAGTCTGGCCCAGGTACGCAGCACACGCTCACACGTCAACCCCTTGCGATGCCCGAAGGTACACAAAGTGACCCTGGGGGCGGGCTGTCACGCATGGCTGCGGGGGCACCTGATCTGCGGGCACGATGATGCCCGGACGTTCCACCTTTCAGCGGGATACCCTTCCAGGTCTGCTGAAGCATTGGTGAGGAGAACGGATGGAACCTCATCGTCTGAGGCGTCGCTCAGTGCTGCAAGGTAGGCCGTAGCTCCGGATTTTCCGGGCGGCACCTTTCTCTGCGCCTGAACCACCCTTACCGGGGCCACCCTTAGAATCTGCAGAACTACCCTTAAACCGGCACTCAGCATCACCGGCCCAATGGCCGATTGCGCCGCAGCGCAGCAACGACTGCGAGCCTTCCTGTCGGCGATAGAAAGGTTGGATGGGGGAACCTTACCACCCTTCTCTGCTGCCACAACATCAGACCAACAAAGCGGGCGCACATGTCAATTGCAAAGCGGGCGCACATGTCAATTGAAGCTCAGCGCACTTGGGCTTCGGGCTTAGGCCAAAGCACCTCATCTTTTCCATGCGTAGGGACCGCGTGTTTTCGCTGATCAGCTCGGACTATTGGGGGTTCAGAGGTTAGGTTTAGGTCACAGGTTAGAAAGCTTCGGGGACTTAAATTTAGATTCAGGTTTTCTGGTTCCAGATGTCCGGTTTCGGGTTCAAGGTTGCCTATGTTGTTTTGTGAAACTCTTCCCACAGGCTCAGCTCCTCCTTGAGCTCCTCCGAGCAGTGCCAACGAACACGGGCTAAAGCGCCGAGGTGGACAAGGGACGGAATATGCAACACGACCGCTACAGGCACAAAACGCCCCTGGACCCCCCCCCCGCGGCTTCCCCGGCTTGAAGTTGCGATCTTCAAGTGCGCAAGAACCCGCTTGCAGACGACGAGCATGCAGGAGCGCATGCTCAATGCTGCTAGCAGCATTCATCACGTTTCCCTGCCCCACTCTTTTCGCCATCAGACGCACAGTGCCATGAGGGTCTCAGAGCGCACAGAGGAGTTCCTCTAGCGCGACCTCGTCTACCTGCGTTGCGGTCATGGTGTCCAATCAGATACAAGCGACATCAAGCGACCCCCAACTCTCCACATGTGAGTCACATAAGTAGGATTCGCATGGCTTCGTTGTGGGGCATTCTTGGCTTCACATAATGTATGGCTGGGCATAGTATCCCAGTTAAGGGCAAGGCGCCAGGAAGCACCGAACAGACTTGAACTTGAGGTCTCCACTCTCGTAGTTGCACCAAGTAAGGCACAGGATGCTTGCAAGTTGGGATGACGGGCGTTCCATATTGACAGCTGTATGGCGTCTTGCATGTATGAGTAAGCAGAGCACTTATGACTTCTGGCACTTCTGCGGCATTTTACCCGAAAGCAAACTTAGGCAGACACCAAGAGAACGCTCCCACTTGGGACCACCCGACACGCAAGCATCATGAGCATCATCCGCGCCCGGGTGTTGCTGCTCCACCTCGCTTGCGGAATCGCACTTGGAAGCAGAATTTGTCACGGTTCACAAGAGAACGCTCCATTTGGGTCCACCCGACACGCAAGCATCATGAGCATCATCCGCGCCCGGGTGTTGCTGCTCCACCTCGCTTGCGGAATCGCACTTGGAAGCAGAATTTGTCACGGTTCTCCATTTGGGTCCACCCGGCACGCAAGCATCATGAGCATCATCCGCGCCCGGGTGTTGCTACTCCACCTCGCTTGCGGAATCACACTCGGAACGGGTGCAAACCGGGTGCAAACCTGCTTTTTCCTTTGGGGACTTGCCGAGTGTGAGGCTTTCCAGCGTGCAAAAGTCTCCACCTGCTTTCACGACAGAACTTCCGGGAGCAAAACACGACCCTTCGGTATGTAGTCATGCACATATTAATAACCATGATATGTCTTGACATGTCATGATACTACACGTATGTAGGGTCGTTGCACCTTGGAAGTCGACTCCGGGTGTGCAAAGCATGACATCCTCAGGCTCAGAGATTTGGATTTGCGACTCTTTGCACCCCTTCGCCGTCCCCGAAACTGCGGCTCGCACGATCGTGAAAAGGGAGCCGCCATCGAAGTGAGTGGGGTCTTGCAGATCTGGCGGATGGTAAGAGCCGTATCAAGGGCAAGGAAGCACCGCACAAAAAGAGTTGCAAAGTGTCAGACAAACAGAATCCGTAAGCACCCTGCTGGGAGAGCACCTCCCGGTGAGACCGGGTGGTGCTCAACCTTGCCACGACACATTGAAAGCCAGTGAAACGAAACGCGAAACACTGAAGCCAACAACGCCCTCTGTCTAGCAGTTTCTGGAGTTTGACAAAGATGGCCCAATCTGCCTTTTTGAGGCTATGGCGCAGCGTGGCCGCAGCCTCACGTGAAAACTCGAGAGACAGCACCACCCGACCCCCGAAAAAACAACAAACGAGCCTTTCAGGGGCGACCCCCCCACGAGTCTAAGCAGCCAGCAGGCCACCATCTCGTTTGCAAGGGCGCCAGGGCGCTGGGCCTCGCTGGACCTGAGTATCTCGCACTGCTTCTGCGGCTGAAAAAAAAGATGCGGAGCATCAACTCAGAAGATGATGCTTAAAGCCTTCTCCACATGTTCAAGCTTGGGTTAAATTCATTCCAATCCAGCGTGGGCTGGCTTGAAGGTTGACGAGCCATTGCTGTTTAGCGCGTCTTTGCAGCGGCTTCTTCGACGCTTTGAGTACGGGCCTGCATAAATCGACTCCAGGAAGACACGACCAAGCAAAGGCTTCATTCTGCAATTCAGGCAGGCCTTCGTCAAGAATGTCAGACATCCTTGAGCCCTAACACGCTGAGTCAGCCCATGCTACTGGCCCTACACGAACATCCATGCGGATATGATCTGTGGCTCTTGGCTTGTGGGTCTTGCTTACACCGGGAGGATGGGGTGCCCTTCTAGTTCGCGTCCACTTATAAGATGCCTTTTGCCCTAGGAATGCTCTGAGACAAGCCTCCCCGGCGGATCGGGATCATTTAGAACAATCCGAAATCCCGGGTCAAGGATTCGGGGGTTTTTGAAGGGTTAGGTTGTTTTTTGGTATTTGGGTTTGCAGTAGACAGTTGAGGCTTGCAGATGCCATCAGCAAGCATGTGCTCACAATCGCGGCCCATCTCAGAAACAGCTAGTATGGGGAAGGGAAGGGGTAGCACAAGTATGTAAATATGCATATTACATATGAACAATTGATATATATATATATATATATATATATATATATATATGCTACCCCCCCCTCCGGGACCTACCTTTTTGAGTGTTGTTGGTTAGTTTTTTGCAGCAGAATTTTGTTTTTTGCTATTAATTAATATTACGAACGAGGCCAGAAGATTTTTCAGAGGAAGTTCACTTAAGGTGTGGGCTGTTATTAGCAATTTGGTTTAAATATGAATTTGAAGCCCAACAGATTCTTATCAGACGTAAAGCTGAACGACTTCCAAATGACAACGTTTTAAGGTATGACCCTTTAATGTGAAATTCAAATAGTACGGACTTGATACCCGGTTGCTTTGGACTGCCGGAAACATTAAGAGTGGTGAGCGGGATAGGATAATTGCTCACAGTATTCTCACGTCCCCCACACTTACTGTAAATGACTTTTCGCATCACCCTATGCACTCGAATACTTCCTAGTCTTATGATTCGAGACTTGCCATCCTTT